TCCTGGACTGTTATACGATGTTTCAGAGCGAAACTCGCGAGCGCTCCTTCGCGACGGAACATTGATCCGATAATCGCACCTAATCCTTGTTTGTGCGTTCAGAGAGAAGTCATAACTCGTGGTCGGAACAATGTTCCAGTCTTCGTGAAGCATCCCTCATCAGAATAATTGGAATCATTCGTCTTCGTATGGTTCACTTATTCAGTCGCCTCGTCGATGTTATTCGAGGTTGGCCTTCAGTTGTTTGAGCTGAATCGGCCCCTATCTATCTGGGCAGGCGTCCGGAGTCGTTGGGACTGCCGCCGGGACTCGGAAGAGCTCGGAAACCAAATATCGTCTCCTATGTGCAGAGCCTCCGAAGGATGCAGGGGTCGCAGCGAAGTGTTTGATTAGTTTTCGATAATCCTGTTCTTCGATGTTCTCGACGGACACTGTTCCAGTCCATGATGAATCGTGAGCACGGATTTCCGACAGTATTCATCTCAAGCCTGTAGATTCACGCTGACTTGACCGCTTGTCTCTTTAATGTGAATGAGCAATACTGTGTTCACGATTTTCGATCATTCCACAGAAAACATACATTAATTCCTTCGTGGAGATACCGCACTACTGATGAGCCAAACGGTACCGCCGTGAAGTAGCGGCGGGCATGCTCGTACACGGACATTTCGCAAGCGTAGAATTCGTTTCGTGCGCTGTGTGGTCTAACGTTTCTGCATCTGCGATACGCCCGCATCAGCGCTCATGCGAGAAGAACCCTCGATGACTTTCGTGGTCTCCGAGCGAATCTCTCGATGATCCCATATCAGATATCTCGACAAGGGCCATTGATTCTCCAGGTCGGCGAAGAAAGGATCCAACGAGGATGTGATTAGGCGAATTTTTCTGTCTTCCGTTGATGGGGCTTTCCGCTGATCTCATTAAAATTCTCGAAGTGCCGCTTGGGCCACCCCCACCCGGACGCTCGCACATTACCTCACGGTGAGGATCACGCCTCCGTAGTGCGTCTTAGCGCCATCATCCTTCAATGCGGACAGCGGCTGGAGCGAGGCCTTCTCCTGATACGGTCTTCGGGTATTGTTCCCGGCGCCGTAGCGGATCGTCTCGGTTGAAAGTACTGTTGTACGCTCTTTCAAGTGGCAAAATGTTTCACTACACTGCCGCGGCATCCGTCAGCTGAGGCATCTTCACAGAGGAATCCGAAGGTTGTGTCCACTTCTGAGAATTTCACGCGTGACCAACAACTTTCTGTGCGGCGACTGCGAAGCGACCTGCTATTTACGCTCGACAACGTAACAATAATGGAGCCACACGGCCAGGGGTTTTCTATTTTGGGGCTCGTTCTTCCCTGGGTACCTGGCAAGTGCCGTATGCCCCGGCGTCCGCCTCACTTCAGTTTTGAGAGGACGGAAGACCAGTGGACAGAAGAGGGGAACAATGTGAACTTTCACCACGGAAACACTCCTCGCTATCGAATGATCGCTCACTAGGAAGTTACGGGTGAAAAATTATTTTGCCGTTGCTCCTCTCTCAACAGAATGCCGGTCGGATGGGAACATCCCTGAAAGCAAAATCTGCGGTGTCTTTCAAGTGACAAGGTGGTACTAATTTACTCTTAATTCGGTGTCTTATCTCCACGGTTCTTGATAGCCCCGAGCGCCCGTCCATCCGCGAGGCAGATAGACGAGCTACGCAGGACTCCCCTCAGCAAGCTCTTCGATGACTATCATCGACTTTCAGACGAAGTTTCGTAGCCGCAAAGCGGAGTACTGCTGAGTGAGTCCTATCGGCTCGGTCATCGAATTCTATTTCTCAGAATTTCTCGCTGCTGATAGAACTTGAAGTCCTCAAATGGAGATCTGAGCGAATTCTCTGTTTGATCGAGCATAGAAGAACCAATCAGTTCTCAAGTATTTGCTCATTCTTCTCGAAGGACTATCCCAACACTATTTGAAGTATGTTTCCGTGAGGCAAGCCCGACAATAGCGCGCGAAAAACCTTCGGTCGGGAGAAAAGCTCTGGGCGATTGGTGATTTCGAGCGAAGACAATAGACTAACCAGAGCACGACGCAGAGAATAACTTCCCCTGGAGGAGAAGATTCCGCTGTTGGGAAAACTGCCGCGGAAGAGCTCAAAACTCAGGCGACACAGACCAGGGAGTTTCAATTGGTTTTGAAATTCTGATATCTAATGCCTCCATCTAGTTCTTATTCCGAACCATACCTGACTCCGTCTATTCAGGTATATCGTTGCTGCAACAAGCTGCTACCACCTGTCGACTTTAGTCACTAGTTCTGTGACAAAACGGACGTCTTCATGTAGCGATACTTCTCGCAATCAGGACCAATAGACTCAAAGAACGGATGGACGAGCGAATGAGACGCTAGAGACCCACTGCCCGTAAGAAACCTCCTCAATCTCTCTACTCGGGAGCAGAGCGATATTCAGTCGCTGCTACGATGGGAACGCGGAGGTTTGCGCCGGCAAGCGTACGACGCGACGAGACTTGGTCAGTCGATTCACCTATTGGAATCCCCCGATCGGATGGTGATAGCTCGAATTTGTTAACAACCAGCCGCTCCTCTTCAAATAAAGCTCAAACATCGCCCGCTAGGCGTTGTAGTCGTCTACGTCGCGAGCTTGAGGAGGGAGACGCTCCGGGTGCTGGACGGTGAGTGAGCCGTCAAGGGAACGGTCATGTGTCACCGTCAAGGAAAATGCGGAGTCGATATAGTTTCCCCGAAATCATCCTGCTGTCCGGATCGATGTACGCTAGTGGAACGGCGCGCCGTCGACGCCGCCTTATTCGTGCCAGAGTTGCTCGATTGAAGCCGAATGCACAATCTATTGATAGATTTCTCCCCGATTTCATTGGGGAGCTCCACCACGTAGCCGGTCGCGATGATTCGGTTTGAGCTGGATGTCGAACCTCCCGCCACGAGCAGGTGGAAAGTTCCCGCAAGCTTTTTACGTCTCAGTGACTTCTCAAGCGACTCATTCGGTTTCGGGACAAATGTAACGACTAGGAGAGTTTCCTGTCTGCGACTGTATCTGCTGCTGATATTCATCGACAAGGTCGGTCCGAGTACTCCCCCGCGTCTTACACAGCAGACCGATTCTATTCGAGAGAATCTCGAGGATGAAGGATGCTCGAAACACTTGGAAAAGCAGAGATATTTCTCATTTTTCTCGACCTTTTAAGGCATGTACCTGGATAAAACTGTCAATCGACTCGTGGGCTCCCTCCTGTGTCTTGGGGAAACAGGCGCGGAATGACTTCGGCCAGAAATCCCGCTGCCGGAAAATCACGAAGGGCGTTCCGATCAAGACGGTGGACAGAAAACGATTCTCTCCGGTCCCAGAAGTCACCCTGAAGATTCAAATAGCGGCGCATGATCTCATCCCCGATCGAATAAACTCCTCGACCGAGACGGTTTCCCGAGAGAGAATTCCGGAGTTTCTCCCGGCAGGCGGAAAGCGGCTCGTTTGCGGGGCTCTTGTAATGTTCCGATATGGGGAGATCCGAGGAGGAAACTCACCAAGGTGGATGACACTATACGAGTTTGGACGCGAGCGCTCATGAGTCGTCATCTCTCGGCCCATAACGTCTTCCTTGGGCTGGTCTCGATTCCCCGGGAAACGAAAGTTCATTGTTAGAAGAGCCATGAGGGGTCCGTAGGAACTAGGCCATTCTTTACAACTAGACAATTACTTTTCGCAATGAACGCTTGAAGCGTCCGAGATCCGGAAGCCCGCACATCTTGAACAGAAAATCGAGAAGGAGAAAAGTAGTCCACGCAGCTGATAATGGCAGAGCCCCGTGGGGCTGTTGGCGCCGTCACTCCTCCGGGAGCATTCCTCGACTTATTATTCCTGCGTGAATTACTCCCTTTCTGTTTCGCGTTCGGCTCGCGAAAGGCTGTGCTCGGATCTCTTTAAACTCCGGACGATGAGGAATTCATCTTGGCTGTAATTGCTATGATAATCAGTGGCGTCTCCGCGTATCGTCCAAAACCAGTGGTCTAATTACAACGAGGCGTCAATCGACGCTACGGGCGAGCATCGACTTTCGACAAGCTGGACGAAGTGAATTAATGCTTTCCCCAGCATACAGGAGAAGTGCGATAGCGCTCTTTCGCGACGGAATTCCAGCGAGTCTATTTATCGGCTGTTCTGATTCTCGTCAGCCCGCCAGCGCGTCCTTGGAACCCACCACGGAATTTGCATCGGGGCATACGTACACCGACAGACCAACATCTCGTCGCCGTCTAACATGATAGGAGCCGCCAAAGGGGTGGAAGTACTCTGTCGCTCGTGTTTTCGTTTTCTTCTCGTCCAAAGTCCTAGGATTCGGACGCCGTGAGACTTCCTGAGCCGTGAGACCGTCGGGACGATTCACCCCGTTTTCGGAAAAATTCAACCAGGGCTGTCTTATCTAGCAGAACACGGTTTCGGAAGCTCTACCCGCTGTAAAGCCGATGGCGGACGACTTCGATAGTCACAGAAGAGTCATAGACCGACGAATGAATCAGGTCGTGATCAATGATCTTGTAACATGAGAAATGGTACATTCCATATCGCAGAGCAGTTTCTCGCATGCTCTCTGATCCGAGGAAATGCGAACTCGGATTGGGGAACAGCTCTCCGAGGCTTCCTTCTGGTTTCTCGAGTTCTTCGAGATCACATAACACGGTCGCCGCGGGGCTCGGACGATGCGGCCAGAAAAGTTCTCTCGAACGGTTCGGAGCGACCTTAATCAGAAAACGAGGGTGTCGAAACCCCGACGAGGACCCGACACTCAATCGAGCTATCGAAACAGAGCCTCGAGCGACGGAAAACGGGAGGCGACAGCGTTTTCCGTCAAGAGACTCATGCCCGCTTCGGAGGATGATCTCGCTCGCGCCTCCGCCCACTTGATTTTCGCGGGCTCTCCGTTCTCGCGCCGAAATTCAAAAAGACGCCGTCAAAGTCGTCTGCTCGCGGTGAGTCAATACAGATACGTTCCGAACCAACAGCAGCCGCATTAGCAACTCCAAGAACAACTGTCATGGTTGTGATGTGTTGATCAAGGAAACGACCGAGAGCCGAGAGCATCTGCTGAACTCTGAACCGAGTGTTTACCGTTGACTGTCACCTCAAGCGACTCGAACTTCTCCAGCATGTCAAATTTCGACGACAACCCGTTCGCAGATCCTCAAGCAGCGAGCCCATTCAGCGACCCGGCTATCCAACGGGCCACCCAGCAGGCCCCCACAGGAAACTTGGGCATCGACGAATACAATCCCTTCGAAAACCCCGTCGCTCCCTCCAACGGGGCATCGACCGGAGCTCAGCTGCCCCCCGACCCCGCGAAAAGACAACAGGGTCAAGCGGCAACAAAGCCGAGTCTGCCAGCTGTCATGCAGCCCTTATCGGATCCTGCTCAAAAGGCCAAAGTCACCGCGGAAGAGCTCCAGAAACGTCAAGAGGAGCTCGACAGACGTGCCGCGGAACTCGAAGCTCGGGAAGAGGCGCTCCGCAGCGGAGGTTTCACCGTCAAGCAACACAACTGGCCGCCTCTGCCCTCTTTCTGTCCAGTGAAACCATGTTTCTACCAAGATATAAGTGTCGACATACCTACAGAGTTCCAGACGACCGTTCGGACCATGTACTATCTGTGGGGTTTCTACGCGCTGCTTCTCCTAGTGAATATTTTTGGGGCCGTGATGTTGTTCCATTTCGACAGTTCGAAGCTCGATGTGATGGCCGGCTCGATCGTATCGTTCGTGCTCTACGTGCCGTTAGCGTTCGTAGGGTGGTTCCGACCCATCTACCGCGCGTTCCGGAGCGACTCGTCGTTGAACTTCATGGTATTCTTCCTCGTCTTCACGGTGCAGGTTATCCTATCGATCGTCTCCACGACAGGCGTCGCTGATTACGGCGCCATCGGAGTCTTCACCGCGATTGGAGCTTTCGGCACCAGCAAATTCCTGGGAGTGTTGCTCTCGATTATCGCGGCTTGCCAGGGTCTCTTCGCGCTCGCTTGTTTCGTCATGTTGATGCGCATCCACCGTTTGTACAGAGGGACAACAGCTAGTTTCTCGAACGCCCAGGCCGAATTCGCTTCCGGAATCATGCGAAACGAACGCGTACAGCAGGCCGCGGCCAACATCGCCGCCGACGCCGCCCGTCAAACCGTCCAAAACCAATTTTCTGGTAGCCGTTATTGACCTATGGAGTAAAGTCGTCGAGCTCTGATTTCATTCCAATCTCGACGCACCGGCCATTTGGAAAAATTTCAAACGGAGATTCGAAGAGCTGTACAAAGTTAATTAAGCAAGTGTTACCCACCCCCTGCATATCGAACGCAAGGCTTTTCGTCCATTCCCTGCGACCGCCTGGGACCTGCATGCCTGACCGCTTTTTATGTCCCTCTGTCAGCGAATCATACAGCGCGCATGCATATGAGCGCTTTAATGCGTCTGTCTAGCGGTGCAACGAGGAAAAAACAGCAAAAAAGAACGATTTCTCTCCCTTCGTGTCATCTGTTGCGGGACAGTCGAAGATCTGCGAGGAGATACGGCGATACCTCCTTTGTGATATTTCTCTCCGAACTTCTCAACTTTGATATCGTCGCTCGTCCTAATCAACTAACGCCGAGAAAGGTTTCACTTCCTTGAGCTCAGCGCTTCGCGGATTCGGATTTCGCGGAACCTCCTCAAAGACAATCACTCGATTCGATTGAAGGCAACTCGACTGCTGGCTGGAACTGAAGAAATCTTTGGCTTTGGAGCGCTCTCGAGTAATCCAATCGTCTTTTAGGTCTTAGAAATCGGCGGAAGGAGATTATCGGCATCTCTCTAGACACCTATCGCTGGGAGTTCAGGTTTGACATCCTTGGGAGAAGATGGGCCCAAGCTGGCCGGCTCCACGTGGAACCTTTCAAATGTTCAATAAACAACTCTTAATCTCTTCCCGCCTTGAGGCAAAACGACTGCGGAGACCGGAAGTAGGAGTAAGAACGCGAAGATCCCATGTGAGATGTGAGACAAAGCTTTATCCGTCACGGTCATTGCGAATAGTGAACCTTGAATGGTAGGACCCAGTTCATGGCAGGCGGTCCGAGCATGAGCTAAACAGTAATTCTATTATCATGAGGACTTCGACTGGGCCTGCCGGGTTGGTTCCGTTACCCTTGCCACCAATGAACCCTCGTCATTACTATCTAGCCAGGTCTCGATGCTCAGGAGGTTTTGATGACGTTGATGACTTATCATCGTATAAGTGTATTATACCGGGAGTCCTTCGCCAAAATGGAGAAGATCCGGAAACAATTCATCAGGTTCCATTTTTTAAAAGAAGTGATCTCCGCACGGCTGCACTTTTGAAATCCAGACGGCCAGCGAGTGGATTGAGAACGGACCCCGGACGTAGTTTTTCCCGAATGTATTAGTGTCAAGTCATGATAAACATGTAGCGTGATCAATAAAAATCGAGCCGTCAAAAACAAGGAAATACAGCGATTTCTTCGACCAGACGTTCGGCGAATGAAGGGAGGGATCGGTTCCTTCCTTCTCTCTCTGATCCCTAGTTTTCGTGGTCTCTAGGTTCAGCTATGGACTTGGTGGGCGTTCGCTTGTCCGTATGCAATGACTCACTGCAGTTAAGTTCATCGGCAGTCAACGTGATGCCCGTGGAGAGTAAAACGTAGTGAGAGAAAAAAATTGTCTGATCGAGATTCGGCGATTGAGCCATCAGATCCGTCGAGTATCTCGCGGGTCGTGGATAACAATGTTCCTCGGGCAGGATAGATCACCCTCGAGATCCCTTGATCTCGACGTATGGAACAAGTTGGTAGATACACCCCTCTGTAGCGTCGCGTCGATCAGCTGCTCCATCAAGTCGAACGCCGTGTGGAAGCTCGCATTCAGCTCAGGAATATGAAAGCGTGTCAAGAGTCAACAGGAAACACTCAGCTCACAATCGAACCGGAGAAGCTTGTCGTGGGAGAGTCAATTGACAGTTTTCCTCGCTGATTGCTTGATTGGTCGCCGTTTCGACCTGCGCTTATGTGCATGTGTGATGACTGGAATTCGATAGATCGTCTTGATCCACCGCTCTAGAGGATCCTTCTGAATATCAGTCGGACGATGAAACCGAAAGAGTTTACTCCTCGGAAGAGTTCCTCCTTGAGGACCGTTTAATTCCAAATGGGCCAGGAAGAGAAAACCTCAGACGAGCCGCGGTGACTTTCGGATCTGTGGAGTACCGCTACAGCAACGCTTTGGGTATCAGTCGGTTCCGAGTCTTCCTGTAAGGATCGAACAATTGACGTGATCTCGATTTGGGTAGCCGCTGATCTAGATGGATGATCCGCGCTCTAATATCAGTCTTATATATACCACTCTCTGCGGTCAACGATCGATGCTCGACAAGAGATACCAAGAACATTCGCAACTCGCTCCCTTCGATTCCGATTCTCGAGACTCCGAATTTTCATCGAGATGCTCCAATAAAATCGGTCATAAAAGTTCCTCATTCCAGGATGATGCTACTGTTCTACTGCTGAAGCGCCGAGGACCTGACTCCTGGTCGACATTATGCCTGGACATGGATTCCACGTCGCTGACTTTTCACGCCGCAGTTTTAAGTTTGAGAGGTGACGGCTCGGACTCTCAACCGCACCAGAGCGAAGAGGGCCTCCTTTGTTTCAACGGGGAAATATACGAGGGTCTCGAGGTATTTGCTATTTTTCACTGCTGACTCTCGCCAGGTGGGATAAGCACCGCTCGTGCCGATTCCCTGCAGCAATCAAAAACTAGTGCAGGTGAAGCTCAGGCTGCATTTTGCCTTCGGGATGAACGGTGTCCTCGATACTTTCTCTCCAGGTTATCTAAGCGATTCCGATTCATTGCAGTCGACATCGCCTGAGCAGTCAGACTCTCGAGCGCTTTTCCGAGCCTTGCAAGAAACTCACTCGCTCGAGGGCATTGTTCAGATCATTGGTAGTCTGAGGGGACCGTGGGCACTGTCCTACTTCTGCTCAAGAACAGGAAAACTTCTGTTCGGCAGAGATGTGTTCGGTCGGAGATGCCTGCTTGTGCGGAAGACCTGTTGTGGATTTCAACTTACATCGGTGGCGTGTCCGGAAAGCTCGTCAAAGGTTTGTTCTCGGACATTATCGCTCAGACCACAAGAGGAGCTCGCCTCCCATCGCCCGACACCGTCGACTTCGGGACCTCATCAGAATCTTTTTATTGCGGCCACCCGCAGTTCTGGGAAGAGATTCCCGTCCGTGGGATCTACGTGTACGATGTGAACGACTCGTCTCTCTCCCTACTGGAATGGGACCACTCTCCGACGGGCGAGCTGTTCCATAGCTTCGTTCCTTGCAGTACCCTCGAAGACGTTCAGTTGCTTGAGTAAGTATCAAGATTCGTCATGGAAATCGAATTGTGTTCTCAAGTGATCACTGATTACGGGGAGGATTCGACACTAATCTCCTGATATTATTTCCTCTCGTTCAGGCTGAAGATCGCATGCCCTATTCGAGTACCTCTGAATCGTAGTCTCGGAAACCTAGAGCTAATGGACGACGATCTGGCGCAACAACTCGATTCATTGACTGAAAAATTCGGAGACGCGGTCGAGAGTCTCGGCGTGACTTTTCGGCGAGCTGTGGTCACCCGCATCGAAAAAATTTCGGATCGACATCGGTTGGTATCGTTCCCCCCTCGAAGGTTTCATCTTGGGCGCTGGTGACGGAATGAAATCATCCCCCATTTCTACCGGCTCTGACACTAAACGAACTACTTTGTAGGGACCTGCCAATCGGAATTCTCTTTTCTGGAGGAATCGATTCTGTGCTCATAGCAGCCTTCGCTGTGCAAACTTACCCTGAGAAGAAATTCGATCTCATCAATGTCGCCTTCGAACACAAAGATTCCGACGGCGTTGCATCGTATCAATCACCGGATCGTCAATCGAGTATCGCGGCTTTCGAAGAGCTTCGAGTTTTAGGTGGTCAACTCAGGTTGATATGCGTCGATATACCGCATGGAGAGGTCGAATCAGCCAAGCTCGATGGTCACATTCCAAGTTTGATTTATCCAATGAACTCCGTCTTGGACGAATCCATCGGTTTCGCGCTGTGGTTCGCCGCGAGAGGCGAAGGCTACGATTTCCACACCAAGGACCCTCATCGAAGCCTCTGCAAGGTTTGTGCACTGATGGGAACTGCTGCCAAACTGGAGGGCATTCAGTGAAAGTGATGGAGATGGAACATTCCCCCGGATCGCATTTCCCTTTCTGGGTATCTCCACGACCTTGAACGGCTGAATCGTCGGTCTCCCCCAGTGGCAGGGGGGCGTAGGACGGATTTCCTGAACACTCAGTCTGGAATTATTTTCAGGTCCTCCTCGTAGGGATGGGCGCCGACGAGCAGCTAGGTGGCTATTCGCGTCACGCAGCGAGTTTCAAAGAACGCGACTGGACCGTTCTCCTAGATTGTATCGCCCGAGATATCGACAGGATCTCGTGGAGGAACATGGGCCGAGACGACCGCGTCATAGGAGACCTCAGCAGGGAAGTGCGGACCCCTTTCCTCGACGAGAACCTTGTCGCCTATTTGAACTCATTGCCGATATCATTGAAGATGCAGCTCCACCAGAATCATGGGGCAGGGAAGAAACTTATTTTGAGGCTGCTCGCCCATTCCATGGGCCTCAAGCAGACAGCGTTGCGATCCAAGAGAGCTATGCAGTTCGGATCGAGATTCGTTAATTCGTATAATAAGAAGAGAAAGGGTCATGAATCCTATCAGAGATCGTCCGAATAAAGACACAGTCAAGAGAGGAACAACAGTGCAATTTCATCGGTGCTTAAAATACACTCTCTAAACAGGGGGAGAACGACAAGGCTTCGACGAAGAGTCGAATTAGAGATGAGCGCTCGTCACGCTTGTTTGACTGAACAGCATTATTGATCGTGACCGATTCGGGGATCGACCCGAGGCTTCCCGTTGCCCTGAACGATCCGATGGCTGGCTTGAGATTGAGCTAGCTCGAAACAGTCAGGAACAGGTCATTTCGACATTCGCTTCCTGACCTTTCATTACGTCCGGAGATTCGGACGGCCACGAGAGGGGAGCGATATCCAACGCTTCGGGACCGATCGCCAAGCCGAAGCCTGCAGGGCAGTGGGGTCCGGTCCTGCTTCCGGAGATACCGAGAGCGACGAGTGTTTGGTCGTTATCCACCTCTGTCTGACCGATGTACAGTCGCTGTTCCTCTGGAGCGCACTGGAAGGGAGGAGACGCTCAGTTCGATTCCGTCGCCGCTCCCACGGTCCGGCTCCATCCTCATACCTTCTCGGCACACCTTCTCGGACTAATGGGGATCGAACGATCGTCCATAAAATAATCACGAATCGCTTTCCTTCGCGAGGGTCACTCGATGTGCATGGAATCATCTCGAGAATTCCCCCCGGCAGCTCTCCCGCAGCGACGGGGGTTCTCTCGACCACAGGCTGCGCAAAATCATGGAAATTTCGGATTGAACTGACCTTGAGAATTCCCTGAATCATCAATTTGAGCCCATGGATCGTGGCATCTTCACTGACTTCGAGGAACAGCGTAGTTTTCTTCCTCATGATCATGACAGAAACATCCATTACCGGACGTTCGAAGAGATCTTTAGAAGTCGGGGAATTAGTCCTGAGAAACTCGACGTATTTCAAGGTCCGAGTTGCGTCCACCGAGTCGTTTCGAAATTGATTGGCAGGAACATTCAAATGTTCACATCTCCCGCTGTTCAAGATCCCGGCTCTCCGAAGAGAGAGTGATGGCGGGAGGAGAGATACAGCGGGCTTGCCGAGCACTGCCATGAATGCCAATAACAACTGCGCACAGCTGACTCCAGCTACAAGCCGCTGGAAGTGGAAAGTTCAGAGACCGCGGGCAACAAGATCCCGGCGAAATGCAATGGGACACGAAATTTCTTAGCGATTCCATCGTTTGCGAGGGAGGCAGAAGGCCCTTGGGAGACCTCGCGCTCCTCAGGAACGACGAAGGACGCACAGAATGGAAACCCAATGATGCTCTCTAGAGATTGGTTCGGGGTCCTTGACGCTTGCCATACGCTCGGGATGGTGAAATGAATGGGAGCATCGAGTTCGGGGGAATTTCAACACCCGGCGGAGTTTCGAGAAGCTTTTCGAGAAACCTTGACGCAGCTATGAGAACAATGGGGACGACACTCCTCCGGATGAACAATTGTTGGGGCTGTAAGTCAGAGATGCCGCGATGCGACTCGTGCTTCGCTCGTGAAGCGCCGACGTCAAAGGAATACATAGATATACGGCGGCAGGAACCAAGATATCTTGATGGAAATTAAAGAATGAATGGGATGAAGCTTTTTTTCATGGGAAGGGATGCATCCTTCCGAGAACGGATGGTGGAGCTGCTCAGCCCAGAGCAAGACGACTACGTCATTGGCCGCAATGTCTTTCTTCCACAATTTATCGTTCATATCTTGTGTTCTGTGAACAGTATGGCCTCTGCTCTCGGCTAGACCAGTGTTTCCTGATAAGTCTCCCCGATGGCGGCTCTCGGACGCCGCGGAATTCCCATGCCTGTCTCGGAATTTTCCTTGCGCCGCTCATCTAGGCGAGCCCTCCGCAGATTGCGTCGAGTACGCCAAATCTCTATGGAAACCAGGCCGGAGTGCGATGCAGACCTTCAAAGTTACATGAGAATCGTGTTCGTCCTGGAGAGACGATCAAATCGCTGTACTATCATCTAAACATCTAAAATAAAATGTATGTATGTCTGTCATGGTCGCATATGCTTTCACACCCCGCTTCCGATAGGTCTGATTCGCTTGGATTAAGAGCGCGTCGTATCGGGTAAGGAAATTTGCGCGGAGTCCCCACCTGAGCCACCATCAACTCTGATGAGCGGGCAAACGAAGAAGTCGCAGCACATTTCAGCCAACATTTCCAAATGAATGAATTCAATCGATGACAGGGAATTTTTTTTCTCACTGGTGTGTTGGGGCCCGGAAATCACCAAAGTCATACTTCGTCGCTGACTTCGAGAGAATGGGTGGGAGACACAGCTGAGGTCTAGGGGGCAGAGAGATGTGCCCTAAAGAGATCTTTCCAAAACCGTAAAGCAATCCGAAATCCATCGGGCGAGAGTCGAGCTATGGGCATTTCCGTGGGATCGCGAAAATGTCTCATCTTACAGTGAACACCCTTTTTTCATGAGTTGTTTGATCAAGGGTTCCTCTAAGGCCTCACGAGGGGGTTGTTGCACTGGAATCGTATTGTCTTCCAGGTATCATTCCTGAAAGATGTCTTCGTATTCCCTTGTCAGACTCCCGGGTTGGCTAGTTCGCTCTGCGGCCAATCGCTTGAGGCCTGTTTCTGCTGAAAGCACCGTGTCTGACTATTTGTCCATGACTTGGAAACTCAGATGGTGTCTTCCTTCCTCATCGATGACTCCGATTGTTGCGGATCCCATGATTGTTTGGCGGCTCTTTCGTACATTCTCAGGCTGACTCGATTCTCCTTGGGACTGGAATTTTGTAGCGCCGTCTTTCCCTTCCCTGGATATGCAGATGCTTATGAGGTAATTTTTTCACTGGTTCGAGGCCAAGGGTATGTGGGACGTATATTTGTTCGTCTTTGGATTTCCCGCCGGCGTTATATCCCGCGTTGTTTCGGTGTCGTTGGGGAGGAAAGATGTTGGCGCTCTCTGCGGCCGGTCGCTCCTGGATGTCTCCGATCGGTCTTCCCATTACCTTCGAACATCTCTTGGATTCTCAACGCTCCTTGGGCGTGCAGATTTTCGTGATCTTCCCAAAGGATGCCTCCTGCGCCTTGGCTCCATCGATTCCGAAGATGGGTGTGATCAAGATGTAGCTCAGAACTTCTACATTTATGTATTTCCGAGCTCGAAGAAGCACTTCTTCACCTGCTCGTTGACTCTTTCGTGGAAGTATTTCGCAGTCTCTTCGATCGCTCGTTCCATGCGGTATGAAAGAAGTCGCTGATGGTGGCCCCCAGATCACTTCTCGAGAGCGTCGATGTATTTCTATGCACGCACGTTCCAAGACCCGATAGATTCGCGAGGTCTTCCCTGAGGGCCGACATCTCAAGGTTTCTGAGACCGACCAGATTTCAGATTCGAAGATTCCTCTGAACTACGCCACCTGCATCTGAGGGGCTCCTGTATAGATTCCATCGACCAGCGCGTAGTCCTCGAACGATGCGAGGAAGTCGCACCGACGGTTCGAGTTCTCTTCGCGGCGGTGACTTTCATCGGATTTGGCACTGACATCCAAGTCTGCGACGTAGTGGTATCTGGTTGATTGTCGAGCATGGTTAGCTGAATTCGCTTTTATTGATTGTTGAGTACTCTGACCGGCGTGCGCTTGTGGAATTCTATTTCTTCCGAGTTTTTGGAATTTCTATTTTTCCTATTTTTTGGAGAGTTCGGACTGCACGCCATGTGACGATGGTTTTTCATTATTATTACCGGCATTCTGGGCCGCGGTTTTCGGGCGCGACTATCCAGACTGGTGAGAGAAAATCCTTAGCGGGGACGGAAACGATCAGATCGACGGGAAACTCCAAGTCGGTCACGGCGCACAAGTTTCGACATCTCGCGGGGAAAACACTTAGCTGTAATAGATGTTTGCCGAAGTCTGTCCAATCAACACACAACCGGAGCAATGGGAGGAGTTCGTCGTAACTCCTGAAAAGCCAGAGAGCTTTCTCGGAGATTTGGAGATCATTGGCATCTTGGATTGCCCCCGCTGAAAACGATGTAGGGTTTTTTTGCCGTTTGCCACGCGGTTGTGGCTTAGTTCCTCATGAACTCCGAACGTGCGCATCTTCAGATACTCATGCATCGATTTAGCGAAAATTTTCTCCGGTGTTGCTGAGGGGGGAACTCTTCCGTTGCGGACAAACTTTGGCGCCGAAATGGCTGTTTCATGTATAGAGAGGATTGCGGTCATCTGTTTCGTCTCTCTCTGCCCTACAGTGATATTGGGGGTGGGGATGGGAGGTTGAGAGAGGGTCGGACCTCCTCCCTTGAAGTTGGGCTGAAAACAGAAGCCGAGTTTTGGTGAATTCCGTCTCCCGGGGAAGCCGGGACTCGATGAAGCATTCAACGAACGATTCACCTCTTGGTGAAAGTTTGAGGTGATCCGGTCGAACGTTTGAGTCTGAGGTGTTCCGGTTCGACGACATTCTTCCCCCACATCACTGATCTCGTGTGAAGGTGAGTGTCCGGAACGCGTGCCTCTGCCCGCCGACGCCGAGCACTATCTTCCTTTGATCCGAGCGAGAGACGATTTACGGTCAAGGCAGAGAACACGATGATGTTCGAGCCTTGTGAGTCAATAAAATTATTTCGCATCGAACGACCAGGAATTGTTTCAGACGTTCGCTCACGGAATCAGGATGTCGAATCAGTCAGAGAATATTCAGATACTGCTAAAAGAAAGAGTCTACCGATTGAAACGCATCCGGAAGCTTTACAAGAAAACTTTCGGTAGAGCTCTGAGCCTGGACACAAAACTCAGCCGTTGGCTGCGCTCCTTTGATGGAGTCAAAGTCGACGCTCGAGATCAGGTCGTCTACTCTGGTGAGCTTTGCCCCTCGGAATTCATCCCTCGCGATTGATGCTCCATCTCACCATCGTATCTCCGCTTCGCAACTCCTTCGAGAGCAATTCGAGATGTCAGTGTTTCCGGATCATTGAGCTTCGAGTAATTTCGGACGAGGCGGGAGGCGAAAGATGGGAAATGGGGCTCCCCATCAAATAGGTCGCGGCCGGTGATTTTGATAGGTTTTGCCCTCGACAGGTCTCTCACGAGTCAAAGTCAAGTTAGTGCTTCTGCTCATGGAACGCGGAGAAGTGCGCCTTGCATCGATGAGAGAAGCGTACAAAGAAAAGTTCGGACTAGATCTGAAACACAAGAAAACTTTGAAGAAGTTCATCCGTGAAATCCCTGGAATCAGCATTGACAGGGGCATATGCAAATGTAAGTGAGATCGACGATCCCGAAAGTCGGATTTGGTCGATTCAATCATCGGATTTCGTGATCTCCAATTCTGACCCGGAATCTCAATCCACCAGATAGCCCACCACCGCCGACGATCAAAGGCGAGCCACCGGGGACCAGGAAGGAAAAATTGTCGCCATCGCCGCTGCTGGAGAGAGGTCAGTCCGGGAAGCTCGAAGTCTCCCGACTCTTGGCTCGCGGATTTCGATTTCATGCAGCCTTGGGTGAGATTCCTCGACTCAATCCGGTTATTTTGCTCTCCAGAGACCAACTCCCGATCTGAATCCAGTCATACGTCCACATCTCTCAGAGAGCTTTCTCCGAGTCGCGGAGTGGTCAGCTGGACCGACAATGGGGCCGGAGATCCCAGGGTTGGCATCCTCTGCGATCATTACAGAAATGGAGGAAAGCGTTCGTCTCCGGCCACGAGGAGCAGTTGTATCGAGGGGGGAGTTGATCGAGCATGTAGAGAACGCCTGCTTCTCCTAGTCTCTGCGCGAGCGCTCGACCAGATCAGTGTCATTCTCACTTTCAGAGATCTTCTCGCTCGGAGCCCGTGCTACGAGGGAACGCTATCGAGTCATCTCAAAAAGTTGGGTTGCGTCGAAGAGCCCGGTCGGCTTTTCCGATTCCCACTCAAACGCAGATCTGCACAGTCCCTCGGCGGCATCATAGTCAAATGTTTGTTGTCGATAATAGCTGCTAGAGATGGTCTCATTAAGGTTTCGTCGGTTCTTCACGAGTACAATGAGCGCCATGATCCACGTCTGACTCACGAAGACCTTGTGTCCTGCCTGGAAGAGATGGACTTCATCATTTTGTCTGCGGGGAAGACCGAGTTTCAATACGGGGGTCTACATGAAGCTAGTTGTGATGCCTTGCGAGAATATCTGCGGAAGGAGGGCCGTTTGCTCCGTTTCTCGAATCTTGGCTCCGAACTTTTCCTGAAGACGGGGACGAAACTCTTCTTCTTTGGCGATCTACAGAGAGTCTTGGAGCATAACGGGTTTCGCGTCGTGCAAAATGTTGTTCAACTGAAAGCTGAGTCCCCTCTGAAGGAAAGAGAACGAGCTGCCGAGACGGAACAAGCTGTCGAGATGATACGCCGGAAGAGTTCCCCGGCGTATCATCCGCACGAGGAGCTCATGATCATGCGGCATTTCTCCGATGAGGAGTTGCCGGGATACCCTACGACTCGGGAAGAAAAATCGATAAGCGCCGTTGGAGCCGTCCCACGTTTCGTCCTAGCTCTCGGCGGTTACTTTCTGTTATCGAGAATGCTGCGTGGTAGATGGCTGTGATCCTTTTCAAGCGAGGATTAGTCTCGTGGGAGGTTGCCCCCCGGGAACCCCCCATACCGTTTGGAGGGAGTAGCATGTAGATTGAGTGTTTGTAGGTCAATCCTAACTTGTTCCGTGGTTCTGTGAATTTTCCTCTCTCGGGCTTGTTGTCTCAAGAAATGTCCATAAGTCATTCCGGAATCGTACGTGGAGATTATTCAATAAACAATGAACCGTCCGTCTTTGTACAGCGAAGCGCCGATCATTCGCGATTCGACTCTCGCGCCCGCGATAGTTCGCGAATTCAAGCCTGAATACGTATGCTCCCCTGCTCTGATTCGAACGGAATCGCAATCCCTTGATTGATCCGGCGGAGGAAACTCCAAGCCTCTGTCGACTCTTAATAGATTCCGCATGCTATCGCTCAGCGGATCAGATAATATTTATAGGAGTGGCCGAACCAGATCGCGGAAGAGGAGAGAGTCGACACCACGACTGAGTTCCTCAGATGCGTGAAAAACGCGAGCGAAGTCATTCTAGGGACGGATCGAATCTTTCCACGTTCGGGAGAGAATCATCCTACTGCTTCATCTGAATTAATGTTCGCGGAGTACCTCGTGGAAGGCGGGACTCCAAATTCGCGGTACTTCGTTTTTCGCGGAACCGCCCGGTACCGTCCAGCGCAAAACACGGGAGTTCACTGTATTCTCGAGCCCTTGAGTCTGCTGTCTTCCAGCTTAGGGAATCCATAATTATCATGGATTACAGTAAGAGCTCGTTATAACGACCCCCATTACAACGAATTTCTCGGTACAACGAACAAGGAATTTCTCCTCCTTTGGCCAGCTCGCCATAGGGATAGTGTTGAGCGGCATTCGTTACAGCGAAAACTCGGTACAACGAACCAGTTTCGTCGGTCCCTCCGTGTTCGTAGTAACGAGCTTCTACTGTATAATCATAATCGGCCAAGTCCGGAGATCAGAAAGACTCTGACCGTGCGAGGGAGTCACCGTACACAATGCCAGTGCTTTCGACGTTTCTGGCTTCCTGGAGGAGCCAACGAATATGCTCGTGCAACATATGTAGTTCGCGAGAGACCATTGGAGAGGCGCTCCTCAGTCAGAGGACCACCCCAAACCAGGATGAATCGACGAAATTCTGGTGAATGTTCCTTCAGAAGTTGGGGTCGGAGACGAGACGGGAAGCGGAAATGCATGACCTTCACCTGATTGCCTCAGGCGATAAGGTAGAATTTCGTCCTCTAGAGCCGTAGAATTGAGACCTAATGAGTAGGTGAATTCCTTCCATCTATGCCATCAGAGACTCTCTAAACTCGAGAAGTTCACGGGGCTCGCTCCTCTGTGAATTCTTAGGCTTGGACCGTTCTCAGGTCAGAGAATTCAACTCGCGAGGGCGACCAAGAGACCGAGAGTCCCCGTGATAACCCCGAATACGAGAAGTAGATGTCGCGGGCCTCTCTGGCTGCGGCAAAGTCGAGTTTCGCCACATCGCGATCCTGCGAGCCGGGAGGAGTCTCGTAGAACCGTGGTCGAGATGAGACTCCAATGGGCGAGCTGCGATCCGGGCGAGCTCCTCCGTAGGCCAGAGGAGGGAATCAGGGAAATATATCGGCACGTTCGTGTCAGACCTCAGCCACGGTAGAGACGGCGCCTGGTCCCATCAAGACTATAAGCAAGGATCATCATCATCATCGTCTCCACTACCCCGTCGGGAGACGCGATTTTTCCCATGGTTAGACGCCTCGTCGCCCTCGTCCCGTGCGCAATCTCCCATAGAAACGTATACAGAGTCTCGAACTCCATCAAAGCAAAGACTGATGGGAGTACGTCTCTTCATCATGATTGAGGACGAGCCCAACATCGCGGCTATCGATCTCGGCATAGAGCGGCGGTGACAACGTCGAGTCGACCATATTATCAAAATGGCTCCAGAATCTTCGAAGCGTATAGAAGCTTCAGTCATATCGACTCACACGGAGCCGGGCTTTGAGTTTTAAATGAAATTCGGCTCTCGGAGTTTGGCTCGCTCGCATCAGACCCCAAATATTTGCGCGGTGATCGTGCGAATATCCGCTCGGCTGGTGGATAAGGCCTACGAATTCATCCAGAGCCTCGTAACTTCGAGAGTCAGACAATCGTCATCCCTCATTGACTCATTGATTATCTTTGAGATTCAATCGAGCAATAAATGGCAGAGTATATGATTCTTGCTATCATTCCGAGGGTAATCGGATGCACTCTGGAGGATTTTTTGCTCATGACAACCTCCGGACTCCCAGAATTCCGCTGCGGGGAGCGGCGGAGCGGCATTCTAAACTGCTCATAGTCGTCCCTAACTAAGGCGGAAATCTCAAGATCCTTTGCTCGATTGGTTCTCTACGCTCCGAGATACGAGGAGCTTCGGAAGGAGTTCGCGGTAGGGCTTCGAGGAGAAGTTCCGAGGGGGAGCACGAAATGGTTGTGAGCCGGAGACTGGAGTGAGCGGCTGGCGGGTTCCGATGCACGGCTGCGGGATAACTCTCGGAATAGCTCTCTTTCGCTCCCCGCCTCCCTTATTCTCCAAGCCAAGCTTCTATGCTGTCACTTCGCTCTGGGCTCTGCTGCAACCCTGGTCTTCGCTGGGTCTCCGCGTTGTAAAAAAGGCCCAAAGGTTCGTAAAAGTTGAACCTCAAGACCAGTGTTCAGTTTAAAAACAACCCTTCTCGTCCCGGGACCAACATGGCTCATCTCAGAAATGGTCATTCCAGCGGGTAAGTGACAATTTTCGACTTCATGCCTCGCCAGCCTCGCTCGCTGCTGCCGCCGCTGGTGCTGCAGTGGGTTGACAGAGCGAGGCCTATTGAGCTCTGAGCGCTGTGGCTTGGGCTAGCGTTACCTCCCGGGTTTCGTGAGGCTCTAGTGAGCGTCGATGATCTCCTATGCGGACATCCGGAACGACATGTCTAGTCGGTCTGACCTTTGCAACGGTCCGTGGCTCGATGATGGGGGCTCTTTCAGTTAGTCCGAGATTCGCTTCCCAAAATACTCAGTCCGCACTCGATTTTGCAGCGACTTTCCGCGACAAGGAGGGTTCCGTCAGAATGGGTTTCAAGGTGGAAACCCAGGAGGCTACGGAGCGTACCAGAACGGGGGCGCTACCGTTGGCTATAGGAGAAACCCTGGCATAGGAGGACCTCCCCGTATGGTCGACAGAGGCGACCGCAAGGGAGGCTTCGTCCCCGGCCGGGGACCCGCACCCGTAGGCCGTCCCGGAATCCACAAAACCGTAGGTCCTGTGGGTCCTCTGACGAAGCCTGACTGGGCGAACGAGCAACTGAACGACTTCCAAAAGAACTTCTACCGCCAACATCCCGATACCGAATTGCGTACTGAACAAGACATCGATCAACAACGTCAGGAACTGCGCGTCACCATCCGAGGCTCCAACGTTCCAATGCCCTACAGAAGCTTTGAAGAGGCCAGTCTGCCCGATTTTCTCATTAGACACTTGCAGCAAGTGAAGTTTCAAGAACCGACAGCCATTCAGGCTCAAGGATGCCCCATCGCATTGTCGGGTCGTGACATGGTAGGCATCGCCCAGACGGGCTCAGGGAAAACCCTTGCCTACACGCTGCCTGCTATCGTGCATATATGGGGAAACAACGGACATCGTGGTTATCGTCCTCCAGGATCACCGATGGTACTGATTCTCGCACCCACACGAGAGCTCGCCCAGCAAATACAGCAAGTGGCCGCTGATTTTGGAAGGGGCGCCGGAATCAAGAGCGTCTGCATATTCGGAGGAGCGCCGAAAGGCGGTCAACTCCGAGAAATTGATCGCGGATGCGAGATTTGCATCGCCACACCTGGCCGTCTCATCGACTTCCTCGAGAGTGGAAAGCTGAGTCTTCGTCGACGTTGCTCTTATCTGGTTTTGGATGAAGCCGATCGGATGCTGGATATGGGCTTCGAGCCCCAGATCCGCAAAATTATCAATCAGATTCGCCCCGACGCTCAAACACTCATGTGGAGCGCCACTTGGCCGAAGGAGGTGAAGGCGCTGGCCGAGGACTATCTTAAGGATTACGTCCAACTGAACATCGGCGCTTTATCGCTCTCCGCCAACCACAAGATCACGCAGATGGTCGATGTTTGTAGCGAAGAAGAAAAAGAAGAGAAACTCATCGCTCTTCAGAGGAAGTTCTGCGAGGAGAAAGATGCGAAAGTTCTCATTTTCGCTGAGACCAAGAAGAAGGTCGATGATCTCTCGATGCGGCTGAGACACTGTGGCTTCCACGCAATCAGTATTCACGGCGACAAGAGCCAACAAGAGCGTGATTGGGTGCTCCAAGGCTTCCGCAACGGCGAGTGCAACATTCTCGTCGCCACCGATGTTGCTGCCAGAGGTCTGGACGTGGACGATATCCGTTACGTCGTGAATTACGACTATCCCCATAGTTCCGAGGACTACATCCACAGGATCGGCAGAACTGCCAGGTATGTTAGCCTGTTCGCGCGGGGACCCCGTGAGATTCTCACGGAAATGTGCACATCGTCGAACCGTACGGAATCGATACTGATCAGAGTTTTTCACATTACAGATCGAACAACACGGGCACTGCATTCACATTTTTCACCAATGCAAATGCCAAACAGGCTCGTGATCTCATCGGTGTTCTCAAAGAAGCAGGACAGCTTGTCACTCCCGAACTCTATCAGCTCGCGGGTAGCAAATCTCGTTTCGGCAGGAACCGTACGTACTATGACGTCGAGTAGAACGAGATGCGCGAAAGTCTGTCATACGGTCACAAATGTGATGCTGTATGCTGCCAGAACGGCGGTCGCTGATGATCGATTTTTTTCGCAGAGCCGCCGCGCTACCGCAATCCGAATCAGCCGTTCCATCAAGTGTACGGAAATCGCGGATACGGCGGACGCATGGGCTACGGTTCGAATTCATCGTCGTCATCGGGATACGGCACCGATATGAGTCGTCAGAGAAGCTTCCACAATGGAGGTGGATATCGCAATGGAGGCGATTTCCAGCGTCAGAACACCATGCCCGCCAGGTCTGGCTTCGGAGGAAGGTATGTATCCCTTTCTTCCCCGATCTGAGTCCCTTTGGCATGACAAGCATTGTTATCGCGAATTCATCGATGAGAAGATGTCCGAAACACCTGAATCATGACTTGCCTGGCCTGTCCCCTCACGACGGATCGCGACATCCCGAAGTTTCTAGCTCGAGTTAGGCTTCGTATGCATTCGAAGTCGCTCTTATGCCTTCGTTCGGGAAACCGAAGCGATTGCAGAGTCTCCGACCGCGCGCTCTGTCTGGGAGTGATCGTCAACACAGCATTTATGTTCTCAGAGAATCCCATGCGCACCTTGAGCTTAAAAGGATACTGCGTGCATCACTTATATTATTTCGATGCACCCCTACGCTCGCTTTAGATAGAACTCTTTATTTTGTATCCTGTCTGCGATGGTCGTAGCACCCCGTGAATGCGATCACATTCGCGGCCTGACGCTCCAAACTTGATTTATGCGATTGTTTTCCGACTCTCGTTCGTTCGTATGGTTTTCTTATTCCTTTCCTTCGCCGAGCTCGATCTGACGACGACCCCGATCGGATTTCTCACGAGGATCGTCTCGTTGTTGGGAGAATGAGTCGGAGCATGTTCGGGTTCGCTCTGTCTCTTTGTCGTCGCAGTGTCGAATTTCTCGGCGATCTTCGGAAGTACCCGCTCGGTCAACCGCTTTTCCGTTCTGTCTGCTCGCTGACCAGTTCAGCGGAGAATTCGAGATGATGCGGATCCGATCCCGCCAGTTCAGTTCGTCGTAGTACGCTCTCCTCCTCGGATTTTTTGTTGGATTGGATTTATACTTGTTCGAATACTATGAGTTCATTTGCTTGTGCCATTCTTGCTAGTTGTTCGCCATAGACGCATCGAGGACCCCGCATCGGACTATGAATCGCACGAGAGAACCTTTGGACGGAAATCGAGAAGCAAACTATTGCCTAGAGAGACGAGAATTCTTCTCGTCGAAGGGATTTATTATCTGTGTCTGTTAGTCAGTCAGTCAGTCGGTCGGTTAGTCGGAGATTCAAACGATGAGCCCGGTTGAGAGCAAATGAACTCTAATTCGGAATGGACAAGAGAAAACCGAAACAATCAGAAGAGGAGGGACACACGAACTCTGGTTTCAGGGGTAACGATGCGAACGGCGCGGACAGGGGTGGTGACCGAAACCCCCCCAGAGAGACGGAGATCGCAGAGATAATAGACGTAATGACACGGGTGGGGAGGATAGGAGGCAGGCTGCGAATGGAGACAGAAGGCAGAACGGGCCTCGCAGAGATAGAGGGGATAGGCCACCTGCAGACAGGACATCTCAGAATAGACAACACAGCGACGGTCATTCTAATGGACAACATCACCAACGCAGGTACGACATCTCAGCTTCAAACTCGATGCCAATAGGAACACAGGGTACCATGAACGGGTTGAGCGGACAGCCATCATCTTTGGTTGGAGGCGGCGGCTCGCATCAGATGCCGCCAAGCCAAAGTCAGCCGCCGACGGCAATGGGCGGGGCGCAAAATCGCATGCAACACTGGGGTATGGGTATGGCCGTTCAAAGGCCCAACAGTGGGTTTATGGGGGCCAGCTCGCCACATTCTCCTCAGCAGAATTATGCACCTTCGCCTATTGGCCACACTCCAAGGTGGGTTACGGATGTGTGGATCATCGTGTCAATTTTGATCATTTTCATCATCGGCTGTGACACAATGCTCTTGTTGTTGTCACGGTTGTCGTCGTCGCCGACGTCATTGCTTAAGGGTCTCATGGTGATGGAGCTCTTGACGAGTTTTCTCCTCGATATCGTCGGTGAATGTTCCCGGAAGATTTGCTCCGGGAAAGAATCATCCCTCTAACAACCAGATCTCGCACTAACTCGACTCTGACAACCCAATAATTCCCTCGGGCCGAACTCTCAGACACTTCCCATTCTCTAAGCCGCCGCGTTCTGCTTCCGACCCTCATGATAATGTCCCTCTAACCTATATCGTACCCTCCTCCTACCCATCCTGATTTGGGGTTGAGCTTAAGACAGACATAACACCTGGCTAACACAAATATGTATGAACGCTTGATTAGTTAGCGATGCAATTTCCGGCGGAAGTTCTCAGCGGGTGCTAATGGGGTCGTTCAATTTTGCAGCTATCAACAGAACTATGCGGGCCCAACTGCTAATCCAGCGGTGCCTCCTTACGGTCACTACGCCATGCCTCAGTATCAGAGTGCCCCCTACTACCAGGTGCCTGCCTAAGATTTCGGCCGCGGAACGTCGTCCACTCCGAGCAGCGGCGGCAGCAGGAGCAACTGCTCCGCGTGCTAGTTAGCTGCACGAGGGACGACCCCGAGCCACAAAAGCTTCACGATGTAGATCCACCCTGGTCTTTTGTTTATTTTCAAAGCACTCATTTAGTTGTAACCTTCCCGTGGTATCCACTCTCTCATATCTCTCTGCTAGCTAGCTAGCTATCATTCTATCTTCCTACCTGTATTCTTCTACCTTTCCCACCTCATTGAAAAGAAGCTCGTAGTAGAAGGCTCCTGGCAGAATGATGGGCCGTAGCTGAACGAGGATCCGGAAAAGTGGCAGGAAGAGCGAAGTTTACTGACGCCAGTGCTGAAGACAGTGAGTCATCATCACAAACCCGGAGCGAAGACGATGATGAGAATAATGAGAAACGAGTCGACGATGATGGAAACGCAGAAGACAAACCCGGATCGGAACTCGATGTCCCCAGCGGATATCTCGATCCCGGATGCGGAGACGACCGCATTTCCCCCAGCGAAGTCGGACGGAGCAGCAACCCTAGAGCGCGGTATCTTCAACATATTTCAATTAAAAACATAATGATGCGAAGTCGAATTACTAAAAGCGAGAGTAATCGGGAGATGAACTCCGGGAGGCAGATGAGACTCGAATCCCTGTGAGCGGGTCGTTAGCATCTCTATTGGTTCGGCTCGAACTCTTCCGTTCCGCAACCGATGCTGATGGCGCCTCGTCGTAAGTTTCGTCGATCGCGACTACTCTGACTGAGCAACGCCTCCCAGAGCCATCCCCGTAACCATCAAAGTTAGGTAGTACTAATCTACTGGGAAACGGAGAAGATCACTAGAACAGAACGGAGGAACGCCGGATCACGAAAACGAGGCAGCACTTCGACCTCGACGATTGTGCCTGCGGTGGAACAGTCATCCCCCGAAAGGAGGATTTCTGTTTTCTTTTCCGCTCTGTCTTCTACGATACAGGCCGGACAACGTACGGTCTAACGATACACACTTCGAGCCTAAATGCCCACTTCTTTACTATCAATACCACAACAATTACACAGGTATTCTGACATCATGATATTTGGTTGTTCGTGGCAAGCTGTATTTTCTGGCAAGAGAATCAGTCAGACTTGAGAGCTGAGACATTATCACGTGAAATTTCCCCTGAGATTACGGCCCTACACGTGGCCTCATGCTCAGGAAACATGAAGCTGAGGAGTCCTTGGGCTTTAAAAGGCTTTAAACCTGACACTCAGCCTCGTAAACTTGGAAGAATGAACTATCGTTGGGGATGTCTGATGAAGATGATGATGCAGACGAAGAGAGCGAAGGAAATCTTGTCGCGTTTTGAACAATTGAAAGCTGTGAACGTTGTGTCGTTTGCGATTCAGATGTGACACGATGTCAGATGAGAAACACGTTCGAACAACGGCTCCGATTGCCGTCCAGAAAAGGAACGAGCAAAGCTAGCGATTTCCTAACAAATTCCACGACATACACACAGATACAGCTCCAGGAAGCCGAAAATCGCTATCGAAGAGAGAAAACCCCTGTTGCTGGTGATGAATTGAAAGTGTCCGACCTCTGAGAATAACGGTTTATTGAGAATGAAAACTCGATTATGATGATGGTGATGACGGAGGAAACGGGGATTACGACACATTAAGGGAACGAACTCTATGCCGTTGATACCTTGTAACTTCGAGGCAGGAGCATAAGTCAGTGATCATGAAAGAAGGCCGCGGGAGAAATCCGAACAGTGAAAGGAAGACGCCTTCCCTGAAACCTACTGAAGGAAGGGGGCATAAGTTGTTGATCTCGCTCAGAATTCTCGACGAACTCCGCCGAAAATTGAGTCCTTGACTCGCGGTGTCGTACACAGGGAGCTTTTACCACAAGCGCACGCGGAGTCGGATCATTGAACGAAATTGATTTAGGATTTTCTTCTTCTAGCCCTGTAATACATGCGATGAGGCAATGTTGTAGTGCATCGAATAAGCGAGGCGGCGAACATGCAAGCTATGGTAACTTGCCATACCAGCTACCGGCTTCCGATGTCCCTACCCGCCCGCTCGCTCGCTCGTCCGCCCCGGTTCGAATGTCTCGATGTTTTTTAGGAATCAATCAATCAATTAATATTCCGGTGATCACTGAGCACGCGATTTGAGCGTGGCGTGCTTGCTTGCGTGTCTGCCGACCCGCCAGCTTGCGAGCATGCGTGCCGCAGCAGAGCGGTCTTCTGCACGTCTTTCTATGAGACCATGGTTTGTGAATTCCGCTTCTGACGAGGCTCGGCGATTCTCGCGAATTGACTCTCGAGTCGGTCCAAAGAAACGCTTTCGAAAAGTCAGATGAATGTGCACATTTGGTTGCTCTCGTCAAGGAGATTGATATTACTATTATAATAATTAAGATAATTATTATTACCATTATTATTATTACTACAATCTTCGGGTGATTAAACGCTATTTAATTGAATTGAGAAAAATATGCCTACACACCTCGAAACAGGCAGACAAGCAAGCAGCCAAATAACCGCTTGATGGTTTGAGTCCGGATGCGTCCAAATATTTGCATGCATTGCTCTCTTGGTCCCTATGGAACCCTGTGATGGTGAACGATGGAATTTTTACACGGCAACAGTACCAGGAAGAAACTAGCTACAATCAAGCAAGCAAATGAACGAACGAACACAAGGCAGACACTGTGTCCCTAGTCGTTATTCAATCATAGGTTCCGATTTAAGTTTTCTCGCTCACCTTGATTTCTGGCAAGCTGCCCGGCGAAAAGGGTATTTGCTTGCCGCTCGTTCCTTGTCTGCTCTTGTCCTCGGCTGAGGAATTCTACGCGGGCAACATACCGAAACAAATCATGATATAGAAACGAATAAACCGAACGTCAATTCGCATTATGAACAGTTATAATCCATGATGAAGATGATGATGATGATGACGATAATAGTAATACTGAATCAATCAACAAACAGCTGCTGCACCTGCGTCTTGCGATCTCATTCGGGCCCCGAACAGACAACCTCGCGATTAAGGTTGAAGGGGCGATCAAACAAAACAGAAACACGGACTTGAGTAGTCGATCATGCCTATCATTCATCGATTCGTTGGTGACTATCTTGACGTATGCTCCGTCGAACGATCCATCGAATCATGCAAGGAGTCACGACCGAGCGGGGAGCAATCAGTGATCGAAATTTCGCCTCGCTACGGGCTTGTCCCCGTTAAAGGATGGCGACGATCAGAGCCGATCCGTTCAATGATGGGATTTGAATGGAGTTGCGGCTGATTGAAACTGCAGGTTGAAAGAAGCCTATTGAATCGAATGGTAGATGATCGCCGCATCGCTGATGGCGTCGTATTCGGTTGCTGGGCAGGGCCAAACGCGTGCATGTCGATGCAAGCAAGCCTTTCCTGTGCAAGCAACGTTTTTGACTGTGCGTCTCTAAGCGGACAGACGAGGAAGTTAAAGGAGGTGGGCGATACGAATGCTCTCCTACGAGGCGAAGTGATCGCGAGTCTCTTGCTCGGTCTCTCCCCACGGAATATTCTTCCACGTGATGAGTGAGAGCCTCCGCACAGTCCAAACTAACCCGCTCGGATTCTTTCCGACAGAAGCTGGTTACTGAAGTCTGTGATCGACCGACAATGGTCAGCCATTCAAGCTTGGAAACTCGGGTGGCCTCGATCTACGCCTCCTCCGTACACTGAGAACGGTGTGCGAGCTGCTCGCTCACTCCTTAGCCGCGCCCGGCCTTATCTCTTCCAGATGTCCGAGTTGCACTGTCTAGCCACCTTAACGTGGCGCCTTACCGATGCTCAACAACAAACTCAAACGACGAATGTTTTGAATTTACAGAGATGAACTATATTATACGTCGAGATCATGGTTTTCATGACGATGGTGATTTTTGACTTTTACACTAGGATTTTATATAAGGAAAAGCATATCTCTCCTCCCCTCTCCGACAATATTCATGATGATGAAAACTCGATGACAATATTCGACCATATTTCGCTGGACTGAAGAGAAACTTTTCGTCTTACATGTATCTCATGGATATGATGTACTGCGTTTTTGGAATTGGTGACGCTCAAATTCAACAACCCAGGTGACAGACAATGACGGCGGATCGCGTATCATGTTGATAAAACTCCGAGTTGTATGGAAGGGGAATTTCTTCTCCTGTACATACACGCGTTGTTGTTGTTACACGGTGCTCGCGCAACACGAACTCGGCGACTCGCCGCAGACTCGAATGCATTCTCGTTGGTTCCTTACCAGAATGCCAACAGTTGATTGTGATGAAGCGTCGATCGCATGCGTGCATCGGCATAACGTGATAATGATGACGGCGGAGCTCGTGACTTCAGTCCCTTGTGATACGGAATCCGATATTATTGAATTGAGTGAGAAGCTGGACCGGACTGTTTCTGACTCAACGGATGGAGTGGAACAGCCTTGTGCCAGAGAGGAAGAGCGTATAAGGACGAAGAGGAAGGAAGAATGTCACCACTGGGTGTCGCCAAGGAGAACTGAGCAAAATGAGAAATTTCTTCCGAGGAGAGATTGATACACCAAGAATTTTCCGTTGCCGCTTTCATTATTCCGATACAGTACAGTCAATGCGATAGTTTCTCGTTTAATTTTTTTTTTGCGTTCCCCTGTCTCGACTCCTTCTCCCATCGACCGATTCGAAGCAGGCCGACGGGCATTGAATATCCCCGAATTGTTCATGGGCGGATATGATGGGAATCCGAGTCGGTGTCAGTGTCATTCGAGTTCTCTCCCACCGAGTCAATAGTCAGTTGAGTGACTTATGATGAGCATTGCTTCCCGTGCGCTGCTTTTCCGCGGCGCGAATCTCTCTCGAGAACAGAATCAAGTTCTCCCACTGGCAGCAATCCTTGGTTTTCGCGGGAGGTACATACAATAATCTTTTCCGAACTTTACGCCAACGCGCCCACCCCCCTCGTGCCCTCGAAACCGACTGATATCTATCGGCAATCGTGTGATCGACCAAGAGCCTGAGCATCCATGTCCAGACAGGATAAATCTCATCGGTCTTGGTTTCGAGCGGAGCCTACTTTTCCCCCCCTGGAATCCCCTGCTTTCATCGAATTATCAGAGCCGAGCTCGGCTTCCTCTAAAGAATTGCCGTTAGCCGATTTGTTTGTTGATGATTCGTTGCTAGTATTTTTTCGAAGAGCGAATTGCATACAACCGACGCGCGGGTTAAGAACAACAAATCTCCAGAACAACAAACTTCCAATGGAGAGGCTAAAATGACGCCGAATCGGTTCACCAACCACGTTGAAGAAAACAACAACAGAATGAAAATATAGTTCGCATGTAAAGAGCCAAAAACCTCCGTGTACAAAACCATGGAAATGAGATGATGCAAAGGTTTAGCAAGCTGTGATAAATAGTCAATATACAAACGACGATAAGTACACCAACGACAAAACTATAACTGATCGAGCCTGTACGATTGAATCAAGTCATTATTGAATCATCATTCATAACACTAGCTGATAATGTCAATTGATGAAATGGGAGCAAATGGACACTCCTCCACCATATGGTTACCTGCCTGTGACGATTCGGAGCTAGACTGAAACTGTGAGAAGAAGGAAGCAAACCACCGAACCCGGATCACTGAAAGTTTTCTATTCCTAGTACTGCTAACTGTTCGTTCAAAGACGACCTCCGCGACAATGGGAGTTCATCTGAACCTCATTCGGAACTGCAAGATAGGCTGTACATCGATTGACGAGATCTCCCCACGTAAGACCCTTTGAAACGGCTCCCTTGAATCCGAGGCGAGTGTGGTATGCTTGTCGTATTTTTCTGATGAGCGATCGCACCCCTCGATGGTGTCCCGACTACGGCGCTGGAGACTGGACTGATGTCCCCGTAGCAGAGGTCGAGCAGTATTTGTTATCTCGCAACAGCGAGTGGTGGACTGATGCTGAAATACCTGATCAGCGCTAGATGAAATCCCTTGAAAACGAGCAGTTCTCTTGACAGCGCAATTCCACACGGTTCGCACCTCGTTTTTTTTTGGAGCGTGGTCGAGTCACGAACATTCATAGCGGGCGTCTCTACCGATTGAGTTTTTTTCTCCGCAGCCATTCCTGGCGGCACGAAGGAGCGATTGAAGCAACAACCAAATTGAATGTGTACACATGTAGCTATACAGAACGGTGCATGCGGAATTTCGCCTTGGTCCAGGCAATCGCTTTTGCGTTCGATTCCTCATAGTAATTAATGTAACGATGCTGAATCATCCCTTGATCACAGAGCGGTCATGTGATTTCAGACATACGTGAAACTCGAGTCTGCCTTATGTTCTAGACCTATTGCAATTATTGAGGGTTCGTCGGCATCGGCATCGATGAGCCAGTGAAATTGGTAGATACAGAATCTGATTATGGAATTCCGACAAAAATCCCGGTGAAATCTGATAGTACCAACATCTTCGAGAAGTATCTCCCCATTTGGTTCGGCCTCGGCCGCTCACCAAACAGTACGCGAGCGTCAACAACAATTGCTGAGAATACAACGCCAACAACAGAAACTCACAACAACAGATAAGAACTCGATCAGTCGATCGATGCAAGTTCGGCGCCAATCCATCCGGAAAAAAAAATCAAAATCGAACAATCGAGATCGATCTTATCGCCGCGACTCCTACAAACATAAACAACGGCGAATTGACACGAAACGAGTCGATAGTGTCACGCAGTGAAACACCGAAACGTATACCCTAAGACATGAATGGCTAACAACAGAAGCAACAACAAGAACAACTAACGAACGTGTTGAATCGAAACAAAAAGAATTCCCCCGATGATAAGGATTGAAAATCTTCCAAACCGATAAGGATCGTTGATGACACTTGACGATGGTCAAGCTCGCTGAGCGCACGCATCCGAGTTTCAGGAACTCGCTTCCGCGTGCGTTTCAGGAAACGAATTCGAAAACATGAGGCCGAAATTACGACGAAAGTATAATTCACTTGTTCTGAACAAGTTTGGAAAGTGAAAGCGAAGCTCTCTCATCTCTGTCTGTTGATCGATATTCACTTACTACGTGTAGTAGCTCTGTCCTTAGATTCGTGCCCAGACCTCCTCAAGTGCTCCCTTAAACCACCCAATCGCCTCTCAACCGTTTTCTTCCCTGTTTCTCGACTGATAATTCGAATTGGAGGATTAGGTCAGGGAAGAGAAGCCTAAATTCGATGCTGGAAGTGGAATCGGGAGGTCCCAGCACCAAATTCTGAGTCGCCGACCGCGACGAACTCCAATAGGTTTTCCCCGTCGACAACACCCACGTCGACAGAGTGCTCCAGGCAAGCAAGCTCCGTGCAGCGTTGTCGTGCTGTATGGGGACATGTCAGTCAGTTCACTCGAGAGAGGCGATTAGCGAAACCGATAACTGGATGCTTCAATTCATTACTTAAATGGAGACTTGATGGAACAAATCAGAAATAAAAAGCAGGAAAATTTTCTCTTGAATCGTGTATTCTTTCTGTCAGTAAGAATCTTGCAGGATGAGGCTCATATCGGACCTCAGGGAATAGGGAACTCTTCATCCACCACGTCTGGACGTTCGCCTGGTCCTCAGCATGGATCCTCTCTGATCAGCCGGGTGCACGGTCATGAGATCAATCGGGCAATTCTGCGACAGAGGGAAAGACATCTCAGCGACAATTCGTCCCTCGCGAATTCTCGAGAGTTTCCATGGTTGGGTGTTGGGTGCAGCCCCGATGAGGTTTTCGTAATCATGGGAGCCTCGCTGTTTCCCCCGCCAGGAAGGATTTCACCGGCTTCGCTGGTCTATCTTCCACAGGCTAACGAGAGGAACCTCAATTTGATGTCCCCCTGAGGACCCCGCTGCCCGCGGAGGTGTTTGTTTGCCTACACCGGTGGTAAGTTCTCTGCCCGCCGCCAGATGACGCCAGCGACACCGGTAGTCCAGCTAGGAGACCTACGAAGAGGCGGCCGGCAAATGACGCGAATGCGCCTTCGAGGAGTGTCTCCAAGAGATTCTACGGCAAATCACTTCCGACAATGTCGAGGGGGCGATCTCTCGACCCTTCCGACTGAATCGAGCCCGGAGCGCGAGACGTGGTGATGCCGGATCCCCTCACCGTCAGAAGCGAAGACCTGAGAATCAGGCGACTTCAGCGTCCTCTGGTGCTGGGTTCCCCATGTTATGTTCTCGAGCAACATGGGAGACTCCTCCCACCAAACAAGTGGGGCATGCGGCAGCGGCGGCGGCTGTATCCTTCTGCTGAGAGCGAGACGCCACCGCATCGGAGCAGCGGTCTGTATGTGAGTGGTCATATGTTTGCGCCCGGCGCTGAACTTTCCGGTTCGACTCGACGTGCTTTCCTGACGTTCGGTCGATGTGCTGAGTACCCTCGACGCTTACCTCAGCTTGGAAAAAAATGCATTGCTGTTTCTAGCTACCGCGCGCGCCTTTGACAACAACTTTTGGCGCCAAAGACAGCCGCTATAGCCGACAACGGTGCGCGCCGCGCTACGATCCGACGAGAACGTGTGACTTTTAATCTCCCCTCCTTGGGTAAGTTGGATTCCCGGACTCGAATCGGCATTTATACATTCATGAATTCCCTCTTGAGGTTCGCTGAATCGGTCCTCTACCGATGATGAGTTGGAGCTCCCGCGAGTGACTTTCCTTGGATCCGCGATCTCGATCGGGTTTCCTGTGATCGATTTTCTGGAGGAGAAAAATAAGTTCCCAATCATACATGAGTCACGGGTAAAAATCACGGCACGGAGATTATTCATATCATGCCATGCCTCCATATCAGATCCATGCACACTTCTCCTCGCTGTCCCAACCCGACCGGCTGGAGATTGAGAAGCGGCGGCTCAATGCGTGCGAGGGTATTACTCGTTGGGGCATTTAAAAGTGGGTCGCGGACTCCATAGGCAATCGATCTGTAGCCCATGTGCGTTCGAGTTGCGATCCCCTCGACTGGGGTTGGGTTTGTCGAGGATTTCCGGAGGAAGTCGAACTATGCGGGAAATTTTCGTTCCAGCATTGACTCTCAAGGAAACGCAATACCGTTGATCGGGATTTGCCAAGCTCGGAACACCACGAGGAATCCCTCCTGACTCATTCGTATTTCACTCCAGTGATATTTGAAATCGAGTTCCGTTGGGAATAAATATACGGGAGCCCACAAGCTCGAAAATTGTCTTCACGAGAAAGAGGCCGGACAACGAGCGGTGGTAGAGCTTTGTCTGGCTGGCTCGCTGGCAGGCCCATCGACGGTGGGATTTCAGACGATTCGGTCGGAGACTTTAGATCGGGGTCCTAGCTGGTCGACCGAACGACCGGCTGACTTGGCTCGCCGCTCGCTCCGGTACCCCACGGCAGCTGGCTAACACAACACGGCTTTCCCTGTGAGAAGCCAGCCAGTCCGGGTTGTCGTACCGAGAAGTGGGCAACGTTCAGACAGGCTGCTCAACCACAGTGGGCTTGTCTCGCCGCGACGCGAGATGTCGACATTACCAGATTCAAATAACTACCTACCTAGCCGGCTCCCTAGACCGTCGCGGTCCTCATGGGAACCCCAACCGATGGCGGTAGCTCCGACTGCGTTCCTTGGCACCCTAAAAACCATTCTCTGTCTGAAGAGCAGCTACCTCCTGACGTTTGGACATGCGAGACGCTGTCTGGCGCTCCAGCAAAGTGTCACATCGAGGTCGACTCCATTCATGAGGTCTGGACAATGGGCCGTCCAGAATTAAGTTGGAAATGCCCGATCAGGCGAGGGCGGACCGAGCCCCTCAATCTGAATCCCATCGACGTCGAGCTGAGGACGCCATGAGTGCATTAAAGAATTACGCATTCTTGAGCTCTTAAATGAAGAAGAGAGCCTAATTTCGCCAGAGCTAGATGTGAATTTCGAACACCTCCGGCGGGACCTACACTTCGTAAGCTGTCGCTAGACCCGTGCGGCGACCGCGGATACGTATTGTTGAAGCTCGGAGGTCATGCGGCGATCCAACTCGAGCCTTCGGCAGCGAGCGCATTCGATAATCTTGAGGAGTTGGTGAACACCGTAACCCCCGCGGTGTCCTCTCGCGAGCGGAGCTGTAGGTGTCCTCTCTCCCACGGGACGATCTCGTGAGAAGATTCCGTGCGGAAGGGAGCTTCTGAGCACACGAAAAATCCCCGCGTTCCAGCACAAGCGGCAGTGTCTCACCCCCTTCTCGGAAGGATTCGATCGAGATCAAATTGAACAGGTCTGTGCTTGTGTCGATGTTGAAAATGTGCTTCGTATGCGTTCCAGGTATCGCGAACCGCAAGTCTTCCTCGAGATGGAACGAACTGCTTTGACGCCGCTTTCAGTTCGGGAGCTCGAGCTCAATAGAGGTGACTTCTCTAACTTAATCAATCTCCAGAGAATGAGTCTGGAACCTCAAGGACTGTCCCCCGAAGAGGAAATCCTAAGGCTCCGCGGCCGGCGATCCTTCGAAGTTCACGCTCCAATCAATATCGCTCGCTATACTTTGAGGTAAGACGATTTATTTCTCAGCCGGGTAGGGAGAGGGAGTCCAGTCCAGTCCCGAAAGGTCCCGAATACGGTGTCGGTCGCGGAAGTTCCTCAACGACAGTTCGCGTCGATGTTGTGTCGTCGTCGTCGCCGTCGACCACCACCTCGACCTCCTCTCTCAGCGCGTGTATCGTCTGCTTCGTTGTAGAAATCCACGAATGTTTATGGCGCGCGCCTGTGGGTGCAACAACACATACTGTAACAGCACGGATTCGAGAATACATTCCGTCGATGGTTGAGCCGGGCGAGCGTAGTTTTCGGTGTCAGCGTTCGACATTGCCGCTTCAGTACCAGCCCTCTTGTACGGTGTGAGCTGATACTCAGGAACTTGAACGTCTTTGATTGGAATGAGCGGAACCCCGTAACGGTTTTTGGGTGTGTAATCATTCGTAATGGGACTGCTCGGAGATCACGTTGACATCATGAAGCCGAAAGCGGTTTCGATTCGGCGAAAAGTCCGTGCGACACAGATCATCCCGACGAAGGGAGAAGTGGAAGTGAAGGCGAAGAACGCGGCCGACCCCGGCACGAAAACAGCCCCGGTGAATCCGTTCCGGAGATCGCTGAAACGTCAGCGCGAAGGAGACGAGTCCGAGGATCTCCAGGAAACTCTGAAGGAGAGCAATTTCAAAGTCGTCGAAATCGAAGTCAACATACCTCAGCTGTTGTCCGAGACAGACAAGGTCAACGAGGCGAAGATATCGGCTCCGGAGATAACGAGCTTGCTCCCGAGCATGCCGATCGATTGGTGTCTGAAGTCAAAGGTGAGGTTCAGCTCATCGAAACAGCTTCCGTGGAGCGGAATGTTGAAAACCACCGAGGAAGCCAACGGGACTACCGGGTTCGTGCGAGTTCTGCATAAGCAGAAAGACGCCTCAGCTCAAGCGAAAATCCACCAGAGCTGCATGTATTGGCAACATCCGTCCCTTCCATGGGTTCCGCTTTTCCCGCGTCAGGGTAACAAACGATTCGAGGGCTCCCAACTGGTCGATGGCCGATTCCACGAAGCTCTCCAGCAGGACTTCCGACAAAGCTTCAAGAGTCTCTATCAGCTATTGAAAGCCAGACAATGCGCCTTCTTCTATCTGTGCGGTCCCGAGTTCACGGTACTCTTCCGCGCAGCGGGCGTGTGCGCCTTCACTGAGATACACGCTCTTATATCGCCTACGACGAAAGGATTCAGAAGTAGTCTGAAAGAGAAGGGCATAGACTTCCAGATGCCCTTCCGCCGAGATGACAGACCCGATTCCGAAGAGCAGGAGAGTCCGGACGACACGAAAGACGACGAAGACTTCTTCGAAAGCCTCGGTCTCGCACAAGATGGTTTCCCGGCCATAGTCGCTCACAAAGTTCGGAAAGCTTTCGACACCGATTCCGGTCAAGCGTCATGCGTCGTGGTTTTGGGAAACGGAGCCCAGGCGCTCTTCAATCATCTCCTCAATACGGATCTCTCGATCGGAGTGGGCTCGCAGGCCGGGATCCCTCCGACTCTTCTATCGCCCGTCGCGTTCCATGGTGCGTCGCTACGGTCTCAGAAGATTCGCCAGACCTGGTTCAGAGACCCAGAGACGCAAATACGTCACCACGCCATCGAGATCGTCGGACCGATCATGCCTAACGCCGTGGACTCCCTGTGCGAGCTACTGAGTCAGTCTCAGGAGGACTTCACTCTGCTGGCGACTCCGACGCCAGGCTGCACGGCCTTTAGTCGAACGATGAATCAATCTCATGATACCACCGCGCCGGTTGTTTTCGCCGTCGAGGCGCTGAGGGAATGTGGTCTCCCGAAGGGATTCATCCAAAGAATCTGTTCGAATGGCGATGATCATGGTACGGTCATCGAGGCTGATTTCAAGACGAACGGTTATCATATAAACACGAGCGCGTAGTACACGTGATCTGACTCGGGAGCAATTCTGAATAGTTCAAGCAATAGCAGAGTAATTATTATTCTTGTCATAGTATTAATTATTGTCCTGTACATAGAAATCATCCGGGACGGAGGATGTGGACGAAACGGGGGAACATTGTACATACGAATAAACGGCGGGATGCGGCTGAGGAAGTGTGTCTTTGTTCCCATCCAGTGACAATAATGGATTTATGATGCTAATAGTATTATACTGACAAAAGCACAAAATAAGGAACTCATGGAACATTCGTGGAGACATTCCCCTAAATGAGCCACCTGTTCGCCTTCCAGTCCTACGAAGAAAGTGAAGTCGCCTGCCAAAGCCCTGCAGTTCCGCTCACCTCGGAAACGTCCCCAGACTGACGATGCCTCACCTTCGAAAGCGTCCGGTAGTCCGTCGAAGCCCGCGAAGAGGTGCCGGCTACTCACGAAACTCAAGGACGAAACAGATCCAACGACGGCGCTCCGTTCTCTGAACAAAGATCAGCTCCTTTCGTTGCTGTCCAGAGCGATGACCGACGAAGAGGTGCGAGCCCAGGTTTCGTCTCAAATCCCGGTCCCGGATCTTCAGCGTATGGAAGGCAAATTGCAGCAGAGGCTCAAGATCGTACTCAGCTGCACGGGAGGCAAACAACAGCTCAGCCCCTCCGTGAGCTACAAGAAGATGCATCCCTCACTTGACGCCTTCAAGCTGAAAGTCACAAGCCACACCGAGAGTCTCCTCAGGGGTGAGTTCGACTCCCTGGAAGTCGCAGATTTTCCGCACTGTATTCCTCTTTGCCCCGCTGGGCCGGCCACGCAGGCAGGAAGATCCCGTTAAGTAATCTTCGACTCTTACAGGAGAGCAATGGAGCGCTGGATTGGAGTACGTGCTCTTGGCGTGGCCTTACGTGCGACAACTACCCGAATGGCGAGACAACATTCAGAATCGCACCAGGCTCCAATGTTTCAAGATTTTGGCTGGACTCCTGGCTACCTGTTTACCTTTATGTACGAACTTGACAGACGCCCACAAAGAAGTTCTCGCCAGAAGGCTCAACGCTATGAAACCTGACTGCCCCCAGGTCATTCTACCGCTAGTCGGTAGTTTGCAACACAGCACTTGAACTGACTCCGACTTGTTGAGTATCCCAGACTTGGTTTTAAAAAACTTGTGTCACATGAACTCACTCGAACGTCATTTACGATAATATTCTCTCCACTGAACGAGGGTGGAAATTATATGCGACAGAAACTTCCAGACAGAAACTTTGTGCGCGAGCTATCGTCGCAGTTTCGGATTGTCGTCAAAAACGAGCGCGGGAAACATTCCGTTGATGCGAGCGAGATCGGATCGAACGCATTCCCTTGAAACATCGGTCCAATAAGGGTCGCTCTGAGGTAGCACTCAAAACAAAAGAGTTAATTTTTCAAAGCTGTTTTCTCATATCCAAAGCTTGTTAACGCGATGACTAGGTAGTGTTGTGACCTCGATTCAGAAGCGCTGAAATTGTCGTTTAAGAGAAGCCCTGATAAAATTTGATTAATTCCCAATCCATGAAACTGAATCTTCTTGATCTCTGCCCTCAAAGCTACGTATACATATCGAGAGGACGATGCCTCTCTTCGAGTGCGACGACAAAATGATGAAACCGCTCTCCCACTTAACTAACAATTTATTAAAAACGAGCAAAAAAAGTTCGTTCCTTCCCGTAGAAAGAGAAAAAAAATATCTAACTATACACTGCCTTTCGATGTTCAATGTAGGCGTAGAAACTGTTTCATACCGAGATGCGATCACGCCGACGATCCGATACGGATAGCCTCAGCCACCCGAGAACACATAATGAGATCCTGTGATGCCGCGATCCCACCGCTGGAATTCTGATCAATAATTTAGAGGAAGTGCCGCATCGTGATGCTAACTCTCAGTGACTGGGTTAGGGATCGTAGCCTCCTCAGGCTCTTCTTCGGGGCTGTACTTCTCATAGAACAGTTTCGCAACCTCCTTCAGATCGAGAGAAGGTTTCTGTTCACTGATGATTCTCCTAGCTGTGGATGCTTTCCCGAAAACGTTACAGAGAAGGATTCCGACGACGACATCGGCGTCGTTCTTATAGAACACGACGCCTTTCGTTATCTTCCCCTCGAAGTCCGTGTTCTCTTCAGGACTGTCGGGGAAGAAGGCTGAGACGGTTTTCAGACTAGGGTCGAGCAGGCCGATGCCTTCGAGATTCACAATCTCTCCGATATCCGACCACATGAGCGTTTGTTTACTGAACGGTTTCCTCGCGCCGGCCATGTTCCTGCCAGCCAACGTTCCCGTGGAGACGGCGTGTTCGTGTCCCTCGAATCGCCGACGGCCGAGCCGAGGATCGAAGAACGAGCTCGCGTCACCTGCCACGTAAAGGTTGGAGCGAGCCGCCAACTCAGAGTTCACGACAATTCCGCCATTCTGCGGATCAATTTCCAAACCGGAGGCTTTCGCCAATTTGACATCCGGTCGGAGATCGTCGGCCAGAACCACTTTATCCACAACTATCCGCTGTCCGGAGGTGAGATGGAGATGTAATTTTTTCGCTACGATTTCTGCGCTTGCGATATCCGCTTTCGCGATGACATTTATTCCTTCGGAGATCAGCTGCTTCGTCAGCCATTTCGCGAGGTACTCCGGCACCATCGAGCTGAGATTACCGGCCTCAGGGAAAATTTGAGTAACTTTAAGTTTGGCGTTGGAACGTTTTGCGAAATCAGACATACTGTAGGCTAACTCTGAGGCGACGGTACCACTGCCGAGTACAGCTATCGATTCGTCTTCGCAAGCTGACTGCTGGAGCTTCTTGAAATCCTCGACGCTTGTTACAGTGAGGAGATGCTTTTCGATTCCGGGTAAGTTTGCCAGCTTGGGATGCATTCTCGCTTCGGTTCCGGACGTGATGAGGCATTGTTCGTAGCTAATCGAGCTTCCATCGTCGAAGAATACTTTTTGCTCCACAGGGTCAACCTTTACCGCACTCAGACCACCAACGAAGGCTACACGTCTTTCGTCCGGCTGCTTGAGAGAGTCGAGGTTTGCGAAGTAGTCGGGCTTCTCGAATAATATACTTCGGTAATCCCCATTCCATTGCTTAAAAAGTAATCGATCCTTATCGGCACCACCTAGAAAATTTGGAATTAGATTAGGTATACAGAATCGAAAACTTCTGGTGACGGTTTGACTGCGGAGCTGGGCGTCTAGACTCTGGGGTCTAGACAAAATCCACTACGCCATCGATAATGCACCGGAGGCTTATGTGATAGCCTCCTGGAACTCACTTTTCCACATTTCCTTGGAGAGGGGAGCTTTCATGTAGGGCAGGTAATCTTCTCGACCAACAATGAGCACTTGAGCCTTGGGATCCACAGCTCGGATCCCTCTGCAGGCGCCGAAGGACGAAGCGCCGCCACCTATCAATAAGTATTTGACTTTCGTTGGCAGTTCGTACTTCGGCAGCCGTTTTTTCGGTTCTGTGATCGGAGGTGGCGGTTGTCGCTGCGTTTGGGTGTAGTACAGAGCCCCGGCAACGCCGGTCCCGGCCGCGGTGCCGAGAGCCAACTTCCGAATCATCCCTGGAAGGAGCGGCAGAAAATCGTTGAAAAGGATTCTGAGAGCGCTCTGCTCATTGTCCGGGGAGCGCGATGAGCATTCCAACTACGGATAAGTGTCGGATTTCCAATATCTGGAGCAGTCCCGGGAGCGCGAAGTTGGAGGCTCACGGCAATTTCAAGAAGAGCTCTCCCCGAACCCCGCATTTCATTCGACGTGGTCTGGAGCGTTCTCAGAGCATGACACGAAGGACATCAGGTCATGATAGCGATCCGGAGAATCGGCTCCGACCTCCTCAGAAAACGGTGCGTAGTCTGTGTGTTCAGTCTGAGACATTCATTGATGACACAGCCGAGAGAGAACTCACCTCACGGTGGTTGCGGGAACGGATGTACGAGATCGCGCGAAACTCGCTCAGCGCTCCTTACACGCTTGCCGGTGTTTTTCGTAGCTTCCAACAGTGCAGCGTATATTCGAACGTCTCTCAGCGCGCCCGGTCGGTATATACCGGACCGGTTTGTCGGCGGTCTTTGGAGAGCAACAAGGCTGCCTGGACCAAAGCGAAGTTTCTCTATTGGCCGCTTGTCCCCGAGGAATCGGGACCCGCCCGTTGTGGAACGGCGCTGTCATTGAATCCAGAGCTTACTCGGTCGGCATTCCGGAAAATTCGAACCCATGCAGATACCGTGATAGGGGGTCTGGTTGTTTGATGGGATGTTGTCTGAGACTTAAGCTGCGGAGAGTCGAACCACCCAAGATCTAATTGTAAATAAACGGAAGCATGAGTGCCGAAGGCAATTGTCAAACTTTGGAACGAAAAAAGAATCGGCGGCGGGGTCCGTCGACGAATAACAGTGAACCTGGCGAGGTGAGTCCCTATAGTGCGCTTAGACACCGGTGATTCCATTTGGTAGCCGTTGAAGATGTGCAGTCCTGACTTCCGGCGCCCTTTCGAACATACTCTCACGGCCGGATGTGCTTCGACCTCTTCTATCCCGAATTGCTCGAGGAATCGCCTTGATTTCGGCGGAGTCCTTCGTCTCCGATTGGAGTATACTCGTTCGATGTCCGTGAGCCAATTGTGCGATACCACATTGATATCGTCGGAGTCGGGGAAGTTTTCATATGATTCAAGGTAGCCTCTGAGTTTCTACCGCTCTGGATTTGGCGCTCAAGAATTCGGACTTCGAAATCGATCCCCACGGGTTTCCGCACGACCCTAAAGGCTTGTGTTAGACAGTGAACTTCAAAGTCTGGCACAGGGAAGGGGCTCAACCGCAATAAAATAGCTCTACCTGCATTCCGTACGTGAATAAAGCCCGATGCGCTGTTATGAGTATGTCCGAGTCGTCAGTGTGCTGCTCTTGGGCCATGGCCGGCTAAACGGAGTCTCGGATATTCGACACCGTGCTCACAAAAAGTATAGCTGTTGCAAACACTTCGATTGACTGATGCCTCTCTGTAATCTTTCCGACTGACGAGTGTAATTAGAGACTCGTTCCCTTTCAGATGAAAACTGAGGGCTCGGGCCGCGTGCTTGAGCGAGAGCGGCCCTACAAAATCACACACCAAGTCCTCTGTTTGACTTCAATCAATTTCCAACGGCAATCGATCATAGGCTTCGTGGAATTGACATTGTGTCCGACGAAGAACAACGTTCGCTGGGTCCGTCTCAACTGCAAACAGTGTAAAATATACAGGTAAGGCAATCGCAAATGTTGCTCGCGGCTTCCCGCAAAGCCTCCACGAGACTGCTCTTCGATGATAAAATCCCCATAGCGATGATGATCCCTTTTCTCTCAAAATTCCAGGATACGTATAAATGACGTCCACGAGGCAGCTTTCACCTACAATGACCCTACCAGAGAGATCTGTCAGGGCGAATCCAAGCAAAGAAACTTGGATCATTTCTGTCAAGCGCATCTCACCGCAGTGTCGGTGGTGGATGGCTATCTGGGCTACGGCGAAGTGTCCGTGAGGATTCCGTCCGACGTGCCCATAAATACAGACGAGCCCTTTCGGGTGAGCGTCGAATTCTCGCTGGAAAGACCCGATGGGGGAATGCATTTCGTCGTCCCAGAAGGTGAGGGCACCCTACAGGAGCGGGGTGCCCACTGTTTTTCCTACGGGTGGATGAATTCCGCCAGATTATGGTTCCCTTGCATCGACACATTCTGTGATCCATGCACGTGGAAAATGGAATTTACCGTGGAGTCTTTCATGACAGCGGTTGCTCCCGGCGATCTCGTTGAAGTGGTTTACACACCTGATTCCAAGAAGAAGAAGACATTTCACTACTCCTTGAACATACCGACGTCTGCGCCGAACATCGCCGTAGCAATCGGACCCTTCGAAATCCTAGTGGACCCCAACATGCATGAAGTGACTCATTTCTGCTTGCCGCAGCTCCTGACGCAACTGAAACAGAGCACTTCGTTCCTACATGAAGCATTCGAGTTCTACGAAGAGCTCTTATCGACGAGATATCCATACTCCTGTTATAAACAGGTTTTCGTGGCCGAAGCATACGAGGAAGTTTCAGCTTATTCGACCATGTCGATCTTCTCGACGAATTTGCTGCACACTCGCCATATAATCGAGCAAGCTTACGTCTCGAGACGTCTCATGGCTCAAGCCCTGGCCTCTCAGTTCTTCGGAGCCTATATATCCCTCCACAGTTGGTCGGACGTCTGGCTGCCACTCGGTATAACGAACTACCTCGCGGGTCAGTACTGTAAGAAAGCATTCGGGAACAACGAATTCCGGTACAACCTCATGAAGGATCTCGAGCTGCTATGTAGATACGAAGAAGATTATGGTGGGATCGTTCTCGACTCATCGCAAACAGAGCAACCCGGTTTGAATTTCCACTTTCCTGTAAATCACCTGCATACGTTTAGTCCGTACTTCCTGTCTGTGGTCAAGATGAAAGCGCACCTCGTCATACGTATGTTGGAGAATCGTCTCGGCAAGGAGCTGCTCCTCCAGGTGTTCAACAAACTCCTATCTCTAGCCGGAGCTGCAACGAAAGGAATCGGCGGCCTCGAAAACATGCTGGTGTCGACGAATTCCTTCCAGAAAGCAGTTTTTCTCGTAACTGGCAAGGAGATCAACACCTTCATCGACCATTGGGTTCGACAGGGTGGTCACGCTAAGTTCGTCGGCTCCTTCGTTTTCAATCGGAAAAGAAATACCGTCGAGCTGGAGATCAGGCAACCGGACGTAGGAACGAACGGCATAAAGAAATACAACGGACCTTTGCTGGTTACAATCCAAGAGCTCGACGGAACCTTCAAACACATGTTGCAGATCGAGGATATCGTCTCAAAACACGACATCACCTGTCATTCGAAATCGCGGAGGAACAAGAAAAAGAAAATCCCGCTCTGCACAGGTGAGTGGAGCTCTCATTGATCCATTGCAGCCAGTATTATTATCATTGATTATTATTGATATCGCGGTGCAAATATTCCCTATATTATACGGAAAAATTTCGCGTCGCTAATTTTGCCATTTCGAAACAGGCGAGGAAGTCGACATGGATCTCTCGGCGATGGACGCGGACTCACCGGTGCTCTGGATCCGAATCGACCCGGAGATGTTGGTGCTCCGGACCGTGCATATCAACCAACAGGATTTCCACTGGCATTACCAATTGCGGTACGAGAGGGATATCACCGCTCAGCTCCAAGCTCTTCGAGAACTAGAGCCCATGTGCTCCCAGGACACAAGAAAAGCCTTGACAGACACCATAGAGAACGACCAGTGTTTCTACAGAGTGCGCTGTGAAGCGACATACTGCTTGAAGCAAGTGGCGAACGCCCTTCAAACTTGGGCTGGGCCTCCGGCGATGATCACCATATTCAAGAAACTGTATGGATCTTTCGCCAGTCCCAACATGGTCAAACAGAATAACTTTTCGAACTTCCAACATTACTTCTTGCAGCAGGCCATCCCGAAAGCGATGGCCGGCCTGCGAACCGTACACCGGATCTGCCCTCCCGAAGTTCTATCGTTTCTGCTCGATCTCTTCAAATACAACGAGAACTCGAAGAACCGTTATTCAGATTGTTATTATCGACGGGCGCTTATCGACGCGCTCTCCGAAACGGTAACACCGGTCGTGTCGGTTATGCTGAACCAGAGCAATTCCAAGGTCATGGTGGACAGCATGTCGGAGGAGACGAAAAGCATCCTGGAAGAAATAACGCGATGTCTGAATTTGGAGAAATTGCTCCCGGGCTACAAACTAGTTTGTACGGTCGGGTGTCTCCACGCAATCCGCAAACTCCAGAAAATGGGCCATATACCGAACTCGGCGGAACTATTCCGTCAGTACGCGTCTCACCAGCAGTTCGAAGACGTCAGGCTGGCCGCGCTCGAAATGCTGGTCGATTTCACGTCGACCGACGGAAGCGTAGAAGACCTTAATCACCTGCTCGACGTGGTAGAAAGCGATCCCGTGCCCCTGATCAAATTCGAGGTTCTCCGTTTGCTGACGCAGAATCCCCCCTTCTCGAAGAAAGAGACCAGTACACATAATTCGGCCTTCAATAACGAACATCTCGTCGAACGTTTATGGCGGATGATGAACTCGACGTTTTCTCACGACTCTAAATTACGCTGCGCGGTCGTCGACCTCTATCACGTCCTGTACGGCCGCGGTCGGCCACAGTGTCTCCCGATGCCCGAATTGGGAGTGGTGTTCAATTTGAAAGAGAAGCGGACGCAACTGAACACGAGCACGATGGGCGTCGGGGACGCCTTAACCAAATGGAATTCGGATGAAGACATCAACGTCGATGAGTTCGATTCCGCCAAGCGACGAAAAATCGGGGATTCGTCCTCTGAGTCGTTTTCTTTACCGCCTATCGCTGCCACCGATGATCAGATACTGCGACCGCTCGGTTTCGACGCCTCAATGTTCCCCAGGTCCGAGACGCCTACAGGGTCGAACGCAATGGAAACCGATGACATACTCGCCATTGATGCGGCCGTCGAGAACGCGGCCGCAGACTCCCCTGCCGCCTCCGATACCTCCAAAGCGGTACTGCCATCCACGCCGGAACCCTCTTCCGCGCTGGAGTTTGGCCTCGTGCCTGTTTCCCTTCCAGTCAGTGAACATTCATCTTCTCATTCGAAACACAAGAAGAAGAAAAAGAAGAAAGATAAGAAGCATAAAAAGAAGGATAAGAAAGACGTCAACATTACAGATAACTCTGTAGCGGGAGATCTCAGCAGCACTCAGCCATCACCCCTCTCTAATCACGATAGTCCCCACCTTCTAATGGATGCCGCCGATAGCCCGATGGATGGAGTCATTTAGATAGTTGGTCGGAATGTCACATTGTACATTTGTCCGTCGAAATCATCACAGGACCTCATGCAGGGATTAAGAAAAAAGTTGTGTTGCCTGAAAACTTGTGATTTCTTTCCTTCATCGAAGTCTCGATACTCCCTGTGTCAAAGTACCCTTCAGCCCCTCATGTGGGGAATCCTCCCATCGGTACCTCTGATTGTGAAGAGGAAGCTCTCTTCCAGCAGAGACACGGAACGTCCCCTCGACGCGGCACCTCAGGCGGAGAACGCTGATCCCGTAGCCCGGAAGTACTCCACCATTCTTGTTACGTAGTTTTGTCGTCATTGTCGCGTGACTATGCGAGCAGATTCTTGAGATCCTCGGCACCTCTATGGAAGTGGCCTTGTCCAATCACATCAGTAACAGAGAGCGCTTCGCTCGGAACATCGATCATATCGAAGTGGACTATCGAATTCACTCCTATGAATTTTTCCGTTCTCGTCAGTGACCGGGTCGAGGCGGGCTCTATGCTGCAAGGTCGCTCCTACCCCAGGTGGATACAGTGAGTCAGACAACGCTCAATGAGAACAACGTTCAAGCATCGCCGATGAAAACCCCTGTGCAGAAATCGAGGAATCTCCCGCCTGAACCGCCCCCGCAGGTGTCGCGGGCTGTCGTTCCACGGTTGGCGACACGCCGGGGTCTACGCGAGCTGCGAGCGCTGTGAAGTCCACAGAGGGGGGAGTGAGCGAGCTCTCGAATTGTTTTAGCCGAACTGGCCTCATTCAATTCTCCACATAATTTTCTTCCATTGAATCTTCGATTCGAAGAGGAAGGAGGCGCCCGAGTTATGAACTCGAGACTGAGCTGCTGCAGCGACACCGTGAGTGTTTGTGTTTGAATCTCGCTTCCTGAACATTCCTGAGACTCCGGCCGTCCCCCACGTTGTGCGAAATGCGATGAAGTTAATCACACGGTCGAGAATCTCCGGTCCAAAAGCCTGATACCACCGCGGAGCGATCTGGGAGAGACGGAGGGATATCTGGAAGACGCAATGACTTAATAGCGAGGAGGTTCAGACCGGAGGTCGGAGGGATCACATTCGCCACACTGTATCAGCGACGCACCATTCCTAAATCCCCAGCGGCCGAATTTCCGTGCGAGCATACAGAGAATTCATGGCTCCGCTCCGTTTCTCCGTAGATGAGGCAGTGCGCTCGAGCTTGAATCCGCGTTCGGAGGATTTGCTCCGACCTTTCAAGAGATTACGGTTTGGTACCCGAACTTTTCGGTGGAGGTGGATGAGAGAGGAGGTGGATAGATGACTGCCTCTATGATGACTAATGCGAGAGATATCCCCAAGAAATTCCGCTTTCGCTTCTTTCATATTGGGAGCCGATGTCTCTTATCTCCGATTCCCCTTGGCCGACAAAACGTTGCGTGCAACTTTCCGAAGACCCAACGGGCATATATCTACCCCCAATTTTTATTTAAAGTAATCCACTTAAAATAAGTAGTTCAGACATGAACAAACTCCAAGATTTAGGTATCATCCGCTGGGAAAATTTGAAACTCAATCCTCTAGGGCTTGGATCATGTTGTAACCACGAATATATGCCAACGAAGTTCAGTTCGGCCGCCGTATCTGCTATAAACCCAAGTCCTATATTTCCGGAGGTCCTCCGAACCTCCGAATAAAAGCATCAACTTCGTCCTCTAGCATTCGAGCCTTGCATGAAATATACATGGGGCATTTCACCATTCTTCTATCCAGAGCCATCGAGACGCGGACGCATTGTGCGCAAACGCAATGGACGTTGCATTGTTTGATGACGATCCCATTGAGCACATCGACGCAAGTGCCGCATTTGTTGCACTTAGTATTTGCGAGCACCGGCCATAAATCAGAGTCGGGCAGTCCGTTTGGATAAATATATTTGGGTTTGACCTTCGATTTCGGTGTGCTCTTCGCCTCTCGTTGCTCGACTTCGTGCTTTATGTCGTATCGTGCTTGTGCCACCTCTTCTCGCGACATCATTGATTTGCATTCCCGGTACAGGGGGCATCGGACGAGGTTTTTGGACATCCGCACAGCAGCTAGAATGCACTCAGTGCAGATTCTGTGTTTTTTCTTGCATTTGCTGATATCCATGAACCCGGTCAGGTTTAGGGGTTTCTTACACTTCGCGCACTGGCCGCTCACGCCGAGCGTCGAGCTGCCGCTTGTCATTACGCTGGTCGTTGTGGAAGCCACTCTTGTCCCCGTCATCGATGTATCCTGTCCAAAGGGTACCGTGATCTCACTGGGAACGGGAATCTCCTCAGAATCATCGAGCTGACTGCATGTGGGTCTCTTGTCAAGTTTTTGACTCGTCTCGGAGTCTCGACTCGTTGTGTCCGTGACGGTAACGGAGCAGATCACCTCGATCTCATCGTCTCGGATTACCGCACAACATTGGTCAACGGGACAAACCGGGGCTCCCTGCTGCGGCTCATCGGAGTTCACAGCATAGTAGAGACATTCTTTGCAGACGATGTGCTGTTGACAATTTCGGAGGATGAATCCCTCGAATTCCCCGAGAGGTTTCCAACAAGCTTGGCATTTGCTTATCCTCGAGACCGCCTCAAGAATCTGATCTTCGGTTTCTGCATCGACCGGATCGAGCTCAGCGTTTTTCGCCGATCGCGGGGCTAGCACTCCGCGAAGGGGATCGCTGCGAGGCTGGCGAGCAGCTCGAGGTTCGGTATCGAGTCGTAAGCATTCGGTCATGGAACTCAACCTACTGAGAGTCGCTGGCTCGTCCGATTGATCATCCTGAGGTCGCACGGTTTTCTTAAGAATCCCCTTCAATGGTCGAGTGTTTCGGGGTCGATCGCCGGGGAGGTGCATCGTAACAAGTCAGCGATGAATCGATGGGGCTCGGATTGCCGGCGGATTTTTTTTCTCACTTTTGGGTGGATTCGCAGGATAGGAATGAAGTCAATTAGTGTGCACCATAAAAATCGAGGGACCACCGTTAGCTCACACCCGGCGCTGACGAATCAAATGTTTCGTGAAAACATTCACACACTTGTATCCGAGTGCTGCATCAAACGTCATTGTCTCAAAAATATGACGTCCCGGCCGCAATCAGCGGGGAGCTTCTTTATCGAATTTTCTTCGAGCCGATGATCTGACTGAGTCTAGATCTTTTTGAGTCCTCCTCGGATTCTCCGGTCTAATCCAAGTCCACGCTCAGAATGCCCGCGCACATCCTTTTTCGAGGCAGTGAGGAGGCCAGATATCTGATCTGTGGCGCTGCACCTCGTGCGACCGAGAAGGCCGCAGGTCTGGCTCGGAAGAGCGGGGACTGGTAGGACGATACGAGAAATTCAAGCGGCTCGACAGAGTCAGCCCTCTTTCCGGTGTCATGGGAGAACATACGAAAGGATCTTTCCAAAATCCGGCTAGGGATCATAGGCCAGAGGCGTTCCACCGAAACCTGCTGCTTTGGGGGGTATCCGTCAGAACGCCAGAACTAATTGTAAAAAAGAATCGCAATCAGTGAAACCCTGCCCGACCGGGAGATCAGACCTTCACAGAATACGTCTTTGAAAACGAGTCCTCCTGTTTGGTGGATCCTGTCGCTCATTTATTCTGGTCTCCATCATGACCTCCGACGAGCGTGCAGAGGAGCACGCCTTTCGCATATGAATCACAGTTGGTTTGTCCTGGAATCACTAATAACTAACAAATCTTCCCACCTGAGCAGAAAATCGAAGCAACATCGTGAGGTGGGACACGACCGTCAAGAAAGATTCCCAGCGGAGATGGAATGAATTTGTTCGTGCTCATTTTAATAACATAACAAGTGAGGTGCTCCGATGAGACATCTTTGCCCTCGCTGCGCGTGCGGCGAGCTCTGGCCTGTGTGTACAGATGACTAGATGCGACGGTCCCGCGTGGGGATTAGTTCAGTTTCAAAGATTCAGCGTTCAGTCCTGGGAGGGGGAATGGCTTCTCGGGGCCCAAGAACTTCATGTACACTCCTCGTGTATCCTCGTTCTGACACTCTTTCGATACAGAGCGCAAATCGCTGAAACATTCCGAACGATTTCCATCCGTCAGACCTGAGCGGTATCTCAGTTGACAATAAATTGACGTAGATGAACGGCTGTCGGGAAACCACGACGAGAACGGCTACGGGCATTCTCGAATCTAGACAATCTTACCTTTTGCATAAATTCCGTCCTTCGTCGATCTCACGCAGACATGGTACCTTCAGGACGTTGAAATACATGTTCCCGATGGCCGCGGCGCTTTCGGAGTGACTCTCGATGAGACACTGAAGGAAGTCCTCATCGCACGAGCAGTGTGACTTTGTGTAAAGGGAGAAATTCACAAGACCGTGACCTCTCCGAAAAGCCTTCAATTTGATAGGACAATGATCGTGCGCTCGGCAGCACTTATCGAGCGCTGCGTCGATTCCCAGATCGTGGTAGCCGTTAGCGATGTCACCGGATCCGCACCACTTAGTTCCTGAATCGAAAATCATCGTTGAAAAACCTGTCCGCAATTATAGTCCGAGCCATCCGAGGGGATCTAATCGCTGTGTACCAGGAGCTCGCAAAATAAACGATGGACCCGTTACAAGGGAGCGTCTGAGAAGGAGGAGCACTCACCGGGAAATATGCCGTTCCAGACTTGATTCCAGAAAGGCATCTGATGGAAGTTGAGAGGCAGCGGTGGACCTTTCTTTGTTTGTACCAAAGCACGGCACTGCTGAATGATCTCCATTATTTGTTTGAGGCACACATTGACCACAGGTCTGCCGATTTTTTTAACCAATATGTCGCATTCCATGGGGTCTCTGAAGAAAATCAACATCATCAAGTCTGCGTGTTGAGTAACGAGATGTGAGAATATTTGGAGGCTCCCACCGTCTGACTCGCGGTATTGGGTTGCGCAAACTGCCACAAAGCACGCGTCTTGCTCATTAACGGGATCGTTCCGACCCATCTATTGATCATTTGCATATTGAAAAGCGATCGAGCCGTAAGACAAGAAAGAAAACTCGAAATCTCAATGCCCGCCTGGGGCGGCAGGTATTCTTCGCGAGTCCTGAAAAGCAGAGCTCACGCTGCCAGCATTGGGGTCCGATTTGCTATTATGGCTTAAAAGATCCGGTACAGCAATCAGCGAAGAATCTCAGATTGCATTCCGTCCGTTCCGAGTGACATGCGAACTCTGACCGCGTTCTGACGCGATACGCCAACTCGACACCCAACGGGATTGAGACCGACAGCTAGAGCACTTACTGGAGTTCCGTGAGCTTGCATTCAACGACGCTGCCGTCCTTTGATGAAGTCCGAAGTTCGGCCACTGTGAGACCATAGGCGTAAACCGCAGTGTCCCCGTAAGGGAGCCATGATTTCGACGAAGAGTTCTTCTTCATCGACCAAGTGGGGAGAAATTTTTCTGAATAGACCGATTGTCCAACACTCAGAAGGAAGCACATGGTCCACCCTGCGTGAAGCCGAAGCATCGTGAGCGCATGCAGGTAACGTCCGCTTCGAAGACACGAGTAGATCAAACACGATGCCGATTCTGAAATATTCTCCAATTGTGGTTAACGTTGCCGCTGCGAGCCCGGTAGTCCAGATTTCAGATCATGTCGGCATTTAACGCTTGTTCGTCTGCGGTCCGAGTAGAAACACTTTCAATACTCTACCCTGACCCCAATATGTAGTACTTGTTGGCACAGCTTACGATTCTTCGGAATTCAATGTCTGAGCCGCTCTTTGATCAATTAGGCTCCGCTGTTCGCGATGTGGAGCGATTCCTGACGCTGAACTAGAAACCGGAGACCGCGTCACATCTGAGTCGCGCCGGCACCGCCACCTTTGACAAGCGGCGCTATGGCCTTCTCTTCGACTTGTTCAGTCCCGAATGGTCTCTATCTTCGGTCGGTGATCATCGAATGCTCACCTTCGCACTTCTTTCGAGAGGAGTTGATTTCTCAGAAGATCCGGCAGCGCACAAAAAAATGACTGCTCGATTTAGAGTAAACGGTACCCGCGGTGGGGCGGTGCGCGCACTTCCGCGTGTCGCTTCAGCAAGGTTAAATGCGTTTTGTCGGATAGATGCTGGGAATGGAACTGCTGGTGTTAGACCGCGGCTGGCCGGCTGGGAGGAGGTGTTCAAGACGAGAAGAGAGAGGGAAGCTCACGTTTCACTCACTATCTGGATTGTACGCGAGGACGGAGAAGAAAATTCGGCGGGGAGGGTGATTCGGTGAGGAACTACCCCAGCACTGGATGAAGATGATCGCTCCCCAAATTTTACAGAACAGCTCCCCTCAGCGCCGAATGCCTCGAGCGGATCTCCGGGGGGTCGAGCATTCGTATCAGCTTCGCGCTTAGTTCGAGCCTGGGCTCGGATTGGAGATTGGATTTGCTTATCTTTTTTTCTGGAACGGAACTCTTTCGAGCGAGCCATAAGGGCTCTTCCCTATGAGCATCTATGATTCCGCAATATTATTCCGCAAATGGTGAGGGGATGCCGCGGATCGGAAATGGTTTCGCGAGCCCTTAAATGTAAGCAATATCCGGCGGTGGGGAGCCCATTCATACGGGAGGAAAGCTCCAGGAAGCTTCAGCGTCATCGCGCGAAGAAAGTCGTCAAGCTTACAGGGGCACAGCCGTCGGAGCGTCATCACTTCCATGATAATGTCAGCAGTGATAGGGCGACTTTGGAAGGAAAAAAACAGCGTGCCAATGAGACGTATCACTCGGACATCACGGTGACGTAACCGCTTTTCGATAGTCTAAATATAGAAGATATTCGATAACTCTTCCGAAGAAGTACTCCTCCTTTGCCGTGGCACTTCTAACTTGACGCAATGTAATCGTTTTTTCACATGCTCTCCGCCGCCGTCGTCGGTCATGTATAGGATCGTGTTGGAAAATCAACTTATGCAAGATCGCTCGCGTTAGCTTCTTCCGTCATGCTTGTTCTTCAGCGGTCGTCGGGCGCGCCCTGGATGGTCAACAATTATTCGTCCCTTGGGTCTGAATCCCTGCCCAACTTTTGCGAAAGCTCCGCGAATGTCTATGGTCTGAGAGAATTCGCAATGTGAAGCACAGAAAGGAGTCGGAAGTCCCCTTGTATATCGATAATGAATTCGGGACGATTCTCGCAGACGTTCACTGAGCAGAGGAAGTGGCGGACATTGTTTCCGGCGATTACAACATCAAACTTTCGGACCTCTCCTTTCTGGAACGAGAATGGATTCGCGAGCAAGTCGTCAGACAGGTCGAAGGAGATGGATTCGAACCGAACACCGCCATTGAAACACTGTCGCGATAGCGTGCGAGTTTATCGGTCGGATTACGGGGTCTGAAAATTCATCACTGAGCGATCAATTTCACGGCACATCGAAGAAATCGATCGCCTCGAACGTCGGGCGTCTTCTTTGCCGTCTATTCAATTCACCCCTGATTACATTTTGAGTGCAGAGAACACCATCGAGTTGATCGACTGAAGGACAGACAGATGGACGAACAATCTGTCCCCCTTGTCGCGTCCAGCAGAAAAGCCAGAAGTCTGAAACCGCATGCGCCGAAACTGAACCGATGAAGAATCCAGGTTAATGGCAGAAACGCTGTGGTCTGTTTGTGTGAGCGAGCGAGCGAGTGTTCGTTTGCGCGTCCGTCTGACACCACGGGTAGTAAGATCCCTTGTGTGCAGGAGCGTGTTCGCTTCAGCGCCCAGCCTATTTATTTACATTGTATCTATCTATCAATTAATCCGACGGTGGTTTCTTTTCGTTACATATCTAGACATTCGTCTATACGGATATCGCCGAACGGTCCACGGTGAGCGAGACGCTAACTCTTTTCACCCATGCATGCCGCACGGATGCGATGCATGCTTCCGTCAAGCATATATATTTTTCTCGTGTTTATATTCTTCTTGCATCCACTTCAACGGTTTTCACGTCCCGTCTCACCGGAACCCGCTGAAGGAGCGGTAGGAGGCGCAGTAGCGACAGTCAGCGTAAAAAAAAAGGTCTGATCGGTGCGCGAACTTCTTCAATCATCATGATCGTCGTCGATGACGCCGCCGCCGCTGCGTCGCCGACACTATCATCGCGGGATCATAAACTTTTGGTGAATTGCTACTGGCGAAAAACGATTATCAACAAACATCGAGTTGACCTAGAGGCTTTCTGGAGAAAGAGCATATCCAGCCGGGTCGAGTCACTCGTCGGGGGACTTGATTGCATGAGCTAGGCGGATCTCTGACTGAGCAGAGAGCTTCACAGGATCGGGGATGTCAATGAAGAAGAGACAGGAAATCTCAATGAATTGATAAGAAAATCTCAATCGTGTAGATATGAGCCGCAGAGCCTCAATAGGATACGGATGTCAGATGTCAACGAATGACCGAATTTCGAGAAACTCGCTGCGTGCTCTGCCCCGGGGCGCCATGGGGTTTCGATGGTACACCGATTCTTGTGCCGCTTCACGGCGGTCGATGAGAGGCGGCTGTGGACTCACAGAAAGCGATGCATTGAAATTCGCTTCAGGGTGACCAGTGGAAACCATTCCGAAGAGCAGCCGCACCGATGAGTACAGTTCCGGCCGTCGTCATCGTTATTCGAATGCATGTAAAATTTCATCTTACCGTCACCAGGGCCCCGAGGTCGGCTCCCGTTCAGCGCTCAGCAGGAGTATGCACCGTCAAGGGAGTTGCGTCTGCGTCTGATCGGTGCCGGAGGAGCAGAAAGTATCACCGACGATCAGTCGAATTCGTTCACCCGCAGATCTCTGAATCGAGTAGGTACCATAGATCCTATGGGCCTGCAGAAATGATCTCGCGGTTACAATTCGATCCGAACAGCCGGCACCATAATGGCGAAAACTCCTGCATGGAGGCGGTGGCTTGCAGAAGTAGAACAGATATATATATATATAGGGAACGCACGCTGTTTCCGCTGTGATTGGGGGCCACATTCCGTTGGGAGATCTACGAGTTTTGAAAGAGATTCTGTAACGCTATCAGGATTGAGTCAGAATCTCAATCAGGAATTTCGCTTTCGATCACTGATCAAATGGATCAACTTCCCAAGAAATGCGATTTCCGAGAGCCTGACTCCGTACCATTCCCGACTAGGAGACTGTTCCGATAGGAATAGATGGTGTCCGATCTGATCGAGCCTCAGAGGCGGAATCTCTCGTTTTCGTCTCGTGTGAGGGGGGTTCCAGCGACGATATTCAGGGACATGTGAGAACTTTGATATTCGAGGTGATGTCAGAGGTCAAACCGATGTTCGAGACGTTTTGCGATTTTTCTCGCGAAGGGTACGAGAAAAGTATCAAAGAAAGGATTCTTTCCCTCGCTGATTCCCACAAATGCCTCAAAGACCGATTCTTCCGGATCCTTACGGTTTTCCAAATATTCGAAATTTTCGAAATCCTAGGCCATGTTCCGGCACGAGCTCGAGAAACGGAGTTTTCGCATTTGAGCGATGTGCATGCTCAGGCTGGACTGTCGCAAGCACTCCGGCCGATTTCACGGATGCGTGCAGTATCGAGTAGAGCATACAAGAGCTTCGAAATCATTCGGAACGATCTCGTCTCCTGGTACTAGGTTTTTTTCCAAAATCGGTACTCATCTCTTCTCAGAATCCAGTCCTCGGGAAGGCGGCAGACGGCACGATTGACAAAAGCAAGCAGCGGCTCTGAATTCGCTTCGATTCCGAACAGAAATCGTGAATCTTAAACAGTGGTTGCTTGTCATTGGCTTCGAAAAAGAATCTGTGTTTCCGAACTACACCAGAACAGGACTCGATTCGTCCACATTTGAGAGCATCTAATGAGCTGGGCGATGGAAGAGTCATGTGTGGCGAAAACTACCTCAATCAGTGGACAGCTCCTGTGCATTTCGATGCGGGGATTACGATTAGGAGGAGGAATCATCACCACATGTCGGGAATCCGTGACCGCTCGGCACCTGACTGATGAGATGTCTGAGGGTCTTCCGTCTCGATGCCTCGATAAATCAGGAATCGTGATTTTGACTCACTCAGTTTCTCCCCTCGAAGCCGCTCGGAACAGAATGTCAATCGGGCTCATGTCCGAGACGAGCTCTGTAGTCGTTGCTCTGACACCGGAGTGCTTCTTGCTGGGGATACGGGAATAGGAGCGCGGCGACACCGACGACATGTGCATTCGGGACCATCGCTCTCTTGAATTTGGATATCCCGAGAGAAAATTCCCGTCGCTCCGCCTTCGCTCTAGGACCTCTGAGAAGCTCATTGGTATTCGATTTGTACTGCCCTTCCTTCATTCTTTGCCTTCTCATTTTTTCCTCGGCTCCCAGAAAAAAAGCGCGCTCAAGAGGATGACTCAAGGATCTTCGTCGTATAGATGATTTATTCAAAGTGCATATCGATATTGCATTCAATCTAGACTACACCGGAACAATTTACACTTGCAAAATACTGCTCGACAACGGCCAGATGGCGATTGAGCAGATTCCGAGGGCCACAGATTCTGTGTTACGCAAACTATCAACAGTGAAACGTCGTCCACGGACGCTATGTGGACTCCTGGTTCTCAATTATATATGTGGTTGCATTTATACAATGGCGTCGCCCGAAAAGAAGGTGATTCCTCACGACACCGTCTGGAGCATGATCCGAGCAGCTCGGAGAGCCGTGGATCGTTCGCTCTGGGAAATCCACCCCGAAAGATCCGCCTTGCCATTGCCTCAATCGGACTGTGCTCTCGTCTTTGTCAGATTTTGGCGGCTACACGTTACCTCCTGTCAAGTACTTCGCGTCAAATATTGTCCGCTCCGGATTCCTCCACCGTATTAACGATACAAGATTTTCTGCTCAAAAACACAATCTTTCGATACATCAGGATAGTGAACGGGAATACAATGCCGGCGAATAGATGTTCTAGCTAATCCATCTTCTCCGGGTCGGACGAAGAAGAATCAGCTCGAACTTCCTCGGTAGAGTGTTACGAGTTCAAATAACCATTCATTTGACGGACAGGATCTCAGGGGGTCAGACCTCCCAGCCCCGACCACTATTGTGCTGAATCGGGTGCTGGGTCCGCCTACACTACGAGCTATGCTAACCCATTCGGTACGTTATCTTCGTCTATACTCGAAGTATTTCGAGGCAAGAGTTGTAGCAGATGGCGATCCAATCGGGTTGGGAGGAAGCCCATTGGATTTGATTGATTTCGCCGTCTGCCGAGTACGCTAGAATGGGGTCTTCGATAGCACGCGGCATCTGCTGGATGTCCCAGATCAGGGCCTGAAAGCGAGAACTCAATCAGCGACTATATGATTATTATTGTTATTATAATCGTTATCATTATTGTCAATATTATTATAATATTTTTCCAAAATTGATCCTCGATCCCTGACAAGACGGAGACAAGATGGATTCGGGACTCAATCTAGAAACTCTGCCTGTCCTACCTGGCGATCATCCGCGGCAGTGCAGATGTGGCACGAAGAATGCGGAGCCCAAGCGACACCGTTCACACAAGCCCGATGATTGTTCAGGCGCGCGACAGGGGTGCAAGGGACGCGAACGTCGAGAATGATCACATCGCAAGCGTCCATTGCGAATGTGGCCAAATAATTTGGGTCCTGTTTGTTCCAGGCAAGCCGTAATAACGGGTGATGCTGGTTGTCCTCATATATTATCGTGGAATGCTCCAGATGCCTCAAGTCGAACATCCGCACACTGCTATCGGCTCCAACGGACGCGAACATGTCTCGACCACCGCCAGCTCGACTGAACGCGATGTCGTACACTTCTTTATCGTGCGCAATGAGTTGAGTACGGACGTGTCCGGCAACACGACCTATAACTTGACCCGTCTCGAGGCCCCATATCGTGCAAGTGGTGTCGATCGAGGAAGTTCCGAGAAGGTTGGGATCAACCTCGTTCCAATCGAACGACGTCAAGGGGGCACAGAAGTCGCTATTTTTATTCTGGAAAAGAGACGGAATGGGCTCACGCATTAGTCTCGTCGTCTAAGATTGTCGGCACATACGCGGGCTTCTGAAAGTCGAGCAATTCCGAGAATGAGCGGAATCGTCTCGTTCTTATGCTGATCAAGACTCACATTATTAAGAAGGCACTCGAGGCGAGTCTCTGAATTGGAAACAACTTTCCAAACTCGGAGGTAGTCCCCGCTAGTCGCTAAGAGATCGGGAAACGTTCCTTTCGAATCGGGTATCCACATCAATTTCGTGGTGGGGTACGGATGATCGATGGTGGATAAGGCTTTGAATTCGGAAATCTCCTCATCTAGTGTCACGATTTGAACCTGGGAAGGTGGGAAAAGCTAAGAACGAAATTCGATCTAGGCGGAATCCCGCTCTAAATGGGCTTCCAAATCTCGCTGCAAGAGGGCGAGGGTGATTTCGGCGGCACTCTCGGATAACACATGCCGGTCTCGAGATGTATCTCTCTGCGGGCCCTCGGATGTTTGAGAATGACTTACCTTATTGTTGTATTCCTCGACGAAACTACCGATGGCTAATCTGAATCTTTTATCCTGCCGAACACTCCAATTCATCGAGTACACCGTCCACGGTGCCTCATATTTGTAGATCTCCTTGCGTTTCGCCATTTCGCATCAAGTGAAGAGTTATCCTTCACCCACAGTCTTCAGTGGATAACTGCCCCACTGGGCATACACCGGGGGAGAAATCAGCGCAAAGAATGAGTTCGTCGCTCTCTTTTGACAATTCGAGTAGCTACAGCTACTCGGACACTAGATAAACAAACTCACATCGGTAGTCTACGAAATCAGAACGCAGCTCCGTCCACTGCACCCTTAAAACTCGGATCTCTCGGATTTCGACATCGGACTGGGAATCCACGCAAGTAAAAAGTGAGAGCAGAATCTTCAGATTCTTGCGGAGCCCTCTGACACCTAGAGCGGGGAAGGAGAAATTCGAAACCGGGACAATCCGAAACGACCCCGAATTCCTCATTGAGAGAAGTCGCCGTATGAAAAAGCGAAGCCTGGTTCTTCTGCTCTGCTTCTCCGAGAATTAAAATTACAGAGCGAGCGTCTATGGCCGTCTGCAAGTTCCTCTCATGAGCCGGAGCTCGATCCCGAAGAGAGCGTCGGGAAGTATCGCGACATTAGGGAGCGCCACAATGAGCGGAACTTCGTTCCAGCTCCCGGACTGGGAATGTCCCGACGAGAAGTACGCTGGCCCGAAGGATCCACAATGCTTGGGCCTGGTCGCGGATCTCGGATCGCATGGACCCTTATTGCCTGCCGGTAGCTAAAAGCCTCCGTGTTTCAGATGCAGGAACGTGAATTTCGGGAAAAGGACCGCGTGCAATCGCTGCGGCATCGCGCGACCCAGAGGTAACTTGCTATGGCGTCTGCTGTAGATTTGGGTGGGCCAGTCTCTCGAACGGAAGATCGACAGCTCCCGACGGAAGGGAGCTGATGACTGATCAACCGGTCACCGATCAAGTTGTTCCGGGTTCCCTGGGGGTTGCCCCTCGCGGCGTCGGAGCCGGATATCGAAAAAAAACGCTCGGCCGACGTCAGCTACCGCACGATTTTCGCGCGCGATCGAAGCGGGGCCTGAGGAGGATATACGTGCTCTCCATATAGGCGATTCGGCTTGCTCCCGCGTGAACTTGCGTGGGAAATCGACATGAGCGGGATTATTCCGATTCCCGGGGGCTTCGATTGCAGTCCGGTCCATAGACCGCGAGGAGGACTTTCTTTGAGCGATGGCCGGAATCGAGGAGAGAATTCGGTTGACGTTCTCCAATCCGTTTCAGAACATTTCGTGAACGCCACGAAAAAGCTCGGACACGAAATCGGCAAGCAAGCGGCCGACAAGAGCAATGGACTGTTTTCTGCCGATGATTGGCAATGCGGTAAATGTGGGAATGTCAACTGGGCGCGTAGAAACAACTGCAATATGTGCGGTGCTCCGAAGGTCGGTGAAGTGGAACGCCGGACCGGCTTGGGGGGAGGATACAATGAACGTGAGAGTGTCGAATATAAGGAACGCAGAGAACACTCCGACGACGAATACGATGACGTGAGTTCGCTGCGAGCCGCGTTGGCGAGAAAATTTCGTAGTAGAATCCGAATTTCCGGGGAAACGAGACGCTCATCAAATTCTCCTTGCAGTTTGGCAGAAGGAAGCGGCGGAAAGCTAGTGACACGCGCGAGAAATCCGACTCTAGGGAAGCGTCAAGCTCATCGTCTTCACGTGGACGACGCGACAGGTCGAGATCTCCGATTCCCTCGAGAAGAGATCGTGATTACAAACCAATAGAGAAGCAATATAACGATGAAGAGGAGGATGACGAAGAAGACGATGACGACGATGCCGACTTGTCTAAGTATGATTTGCTCGCCTAAGGAGGGAAATAGTCGATGATGATTTTTTGATTGCTCGTCCGGCAGAGATACATGTTACATTTCCGACTATCTTCCTGATTCAGTTCCCCTGTATAATAGACTGTATAAATTACGAACTTGTGCTCGAGCTCGAGGAGAATCTTCCCCTCGGCTCAGAGGGAAAATAAACGCGCACTGGCTCAAAACTCAAAACTCAAATACCGTCTTCTCAATCCTGTGGACAAAGAATTCTCCTCGGCTCATCGCTCACGGGAATAAACATCATCGTTGTCCAAATTCTTCCATTCCAGAGCACGGGAGAGGTGGAAATCGTGTCAGACGAAGATCTCGGGTGTGATCCTAGGGTTTTTTATTTTTCATGTCAAGCGAAGATCTCTAGCCAGTCCATTCGTCTCTTTAGACTAAAGAGTCTACGGGGGTCTACCGTCGATGCCGTCGAAGCGATGCCGGCTTCTCGTCGGGGAGAGAAGACGCTCAACCTCCGAACAGATCGTTGAACCAGCATCGGAATGATCCTGAACTCAGAACATTGCTCTTTCGTGTTAGCATGGATTGATGCATTCCGTCGCGGCTGCGAATACGAGCCTCGATTGCTCCACACGAAACCTAAACAGAGCGACCAGATGAGAACAAGAAGAATGTGACTCGCCATGTTCACGGAAGACGACGCTGATTGGGAGGGCAGTGGCGATCGACCCTCCTCGCTGCGAGACCGCCTCGAATCAACAAAAGAAAAAACAGGTCGGAGCGAGCAATCTTCAACGAGCAAGAGGTATCTCCGCTACGTGCCGACGTCTCGTGTTCGGAAGGTAAGGATGACGGTTCACGTTGGTCTAGGAGTTCCTGCTCGGTAACCCATCCTTACCGCGGTTCATATTCCATTCCGCGGGCTCCGGCCATCCACGTGAATTAACTCTCTATACAAACACGCGGAGTAAACGCTCGTCTTTCCCGAGGCTACCAGCGCGGCTTTTTTCCAGATGCATTCGTTGTCCCTCGTCGTGCTAGTTTGTGCGTGCAGCTTAGCAACAGGTGAGAGCATTGGCGGAGTATAACAGGAGACGCAGACGGGGCGGCGATGACAGCAATGAGTCCCGAGAGTCTCCACGGAGGAGAAGCGAAAAAGTGTTGCCTGTATTCATTGTTGAGTTCACGACATCGATTCTTCCAGCCACAACTTGCCCGGATAATAGTCATTGTGACGATTCTCAGACATGTTGCCCCACGGGAAATGATCATTATGGGTGCTGTCCCTACGTCGATGCTACTTGCTGCGCCGATAAGTTGCACTGCTGCCCACCGATGTTCGTGTGTCACGTATCGTCATCAACGTGTCGCCTAGGAAAGATATCCTTGCCGTGGGCTGCGCGAGACAAAGGCGTCCACCCAAAATCGGAAAATCGCCATTCGAGTCGAAAAGGTGTTTAAGGTACACATTCGGATGTGGAATAAATCGTAATGTGATTGATGCGCTCCCTCGATAGGTGCTCCTCAGTATGCTCGTCTCCGTCGGATTATTCCGGGAACGGTCTCTCGGCCTAAAAGAGCGGGGGATACGGGAACAGCATTCGGGGAAGGGGATCGATAGCCACGTTCCTCGAGCGTCATCTGCTGCGCGGATACGGACTGTGCGAGCCAAGAGACTTTCATACTCCGATGCGGAGACAAGTCCGAAACAATCGTACCGTTGCTCCCAAGCAAGTAGGCAGGCTTGACTACGCCGAGGAGAGCAAACCCGAGGCAAGACAACCGTCTCTGAGATGCGCATGATTCACACATCCGTCTTTGCTAAGCGCAAGTCTAGGTTCAAAGAAGCTCCGAGAGGGTATGGCTTCCGCTGATTGTGAGTACAGGAGAGACCTATCTCGAATGGAAGAGATCCGACACTGATAAACTAAGCCTCGGTCAAATGAAACGGAGGGTTTCGAATGGCGCGGATAGAACATTCGGACGTATTCAGGTCTGGACGCTCGATCCCGAGAATAATTCAGACTCGAGAGAGTTCGGAATAGAAGAGTCGAGCTCAGGGATCCGCTCCCATGTGTGACCTGCTTCTTGCGGCGAAATAATATTCCGTTCCGGTGGGAGTGACTCGATGGAGCCGGCTGACATGAGAGAACCGTGCGATGGACCCGAACGCGCGAGAAATATCACGTTTCATTCGAGGCACGGGTGATAATCTCTTTGCAGGACCGATATGTCGGTCTACTCCGAATTCTGACTCTTATCTCCTCTGCGATGAAAATAGAATTCAGAAAGAATCCTGGATACGTATACGTCTCGTGATAAATCGATACCTAAGTGAACCAGAATTCCCAACATAAAATATTGCTATCAAGATTCGGATGAGTTCCCCGGGCGGAGCGAGGGAAACCCGTCGAGGGCACTACGGCCTTGCTGAGCACTGAGATCACGAGACAGAGTGAGATCGAGTCGAGAAGTCTGAGTGGAAATTGGCAATCGTCGCTACGAGCCCCTATCCGTCTCACGCCCCCCCCTCCCTGCACCCGACGACGGACGCTCCTCTCGATCAGTGTATAGACCTGAACCGACGGGAGAGAATGGGAATCGATACAGTTTTCGGTGAACGCTCAGCTAAAGTTCTGAGAGGAAATAAATTCATGAGGAACACGATCCTGCCGATCACGTTCCGCCATTAAATTTCTGATAAATTGGATCGACCGTAAGATAGACGTGACAGGAAGCAGACTTCCAGGAAGCAACTCCGGGAGCGTTCGCGGCGGTCACTGCGTCGGCGATCATTCCACAATTTAGCCTTAACATCTTCGGTGGGGCTCCGCAATCGTGCACGCGCACCAAAGTTCAGAGGACCAATGATCATCCTTCGATCCTTCCGGCGGAGCGTAACCCTATCGGGATCGCTGCCTCGACTTCACTGAAATCTGCGACCCCGCGTTCGCGGCCGGGAATGGTTCCAGTTCATCACCGAAATCCCTGAGAGAAGAGATTCCGTGCCGCTGAGACATTGAGTGAATTCTGCGATCTTGGAAGATTCGTTTGTAGGTCAATTTTGTTTAGAGCCAGGATCACGTTCGACAGCGCTGAGAATATTTCCCCGGTCGACTGAGCACGCATTCAGTCGAGCATCGATATGAAGAGTTCCCGAGTTTTGATCGTTCTTCTGCTCTTTACGAGCGAGTTGAGCCTTTCTGTGAATTCGAAAAAATCTCCAGGTGAGTTTCGCGATTTTCTCAGCGAGTTCTCCTGTGGCCTAGGTTCTGGTCGCAATGAACGGCTCTGTTGCAGGGAAGGAGAGCGTTATCAACTATAAGTACGGCAAGAGGCGCTATCATGCTCTGGTATGCGATGAATCGCAAACGCTTTGCGCGGATCGTAAAGGAAGGTACAGGTGTTGTGGGACTGAAGAGGCTTCGTGCTGCGAGGGTGGGGAATCCTGCTGTCCGAAAGATTATTATTGTAGTTTCAAGACTAAATCTTGCTGTAAAATGCCGACTGCCTTCGTCCTGCGGAAGACGGAAGTAACACCCGATTGTTCCATGAACTGGATGAAGACGAAAATTCCCAAGAAAGAATGACAGCGACGGAACCAGCGTCCTCGGCTCACTCTGCCCGAAAGAGACGGCGACCAATCAGTGCTGCCGGCATTCGATGCGAAACGCGCCCAGCATCCCTGACACGTCGAGGACGATGGAACCTCCCTCAGCTCCAATCGGAGAAATCAGCGTCACGTGTTTCGTCGACAAGCGCTAAGGATTTTCCTTGAGAAGTTGTGTCCGTACCAAAATGCGTAATTGCCCCACCAAGTGTCGTTCGAGTGGGTCATTACAGGAATAAATACAATGCTTCATATGTCGCGAACGAACGGTTCTTTTATTACGATCCATTACGGCTTCGCCCCGAATCGTATTACGTCGTCATGTGTCCTTCGCTCCGAAAGAATTGACGAATGAGAGGAGGTAGCCGAAATCATGATCAGTCTTGCCTACGAAAGCACAGTCAAAGACTTCCCGCACTGGTACGACTACACTCGCGGACCTTGCGTAAGGGTTCATGCCGAGGACCATAAGCAGGACCTGGTCAAGCGAGAGTCATCGCACCATGAATGTCGCTTATGCTTGCGCGGTTCTCATATTATTGGTTGGTGTAGTGCTCTTTGCAGAAGGTGAGTGGTTCCGCGAAGATGAAGAATGAGATGTCTCAAGAAATCACCCGGAAACCCTTTTCGGCTAGAGAGTGTCGCGGAAGGTACCTATAACAGTTCTACTGCTTGATTCAAGGTGCCGTCCAGTGCCCGGACAGTAGTCATTGTAAGTCCGGAGAGACCTGCTGCAGAATTCCCGGTGGCAAACACAAATGCTGTCCATTCCCTAACGCAACGTGCTGCCCAGACAACGGACACTGCTGTCCCATGGGGCATTCGTGCGACCTCCATACCATGACCTGCTATTTGGCCGAGGCAGCTGCCGCAGGAACAGTGAAATTGCGTAAAACGTAACCTGTACGTCCGAAGGGAACCCCACGTCTCATAGGCGCGCATCAGGTCGTCGGTGAAGAATGTTGTGTTCGAGTGTCGATATTCACGCTTACAGCGTACTTGGCGGTCTTCAGATTCGAGCATGCGTCTGGGGTGCAGCTGTGCTCCGTTGAGCACGATGACGATACAATGTTCTGGCTAAATCTGCAATCAGAGATTCGCCGACTTTTTCTTCACCATATTTTGCTAATCCTGCCATGTATAGATATCATCATAGGTCTCCGCTCCGCAATTTTCCATCCATTGGTGCTACTTGTGTTGTGTACCATCCTCAAATATTCTTGGTGCATAGATGTTCCGATGGATCCTTTGGTATCGCGGAACCGAGCTGGAGCGCTGAGCAATTTCTACATGAATAAAGTTGATCCGTAAACGCACTGATGAAGTTGTTCGTTGTGCTCCCCGCACAGGTTCCGAATGATCCCCCGTCGGTTTCTTCTCCAGATCATAAATTCCCCGGCGCATAGATCACTGAATTCCTACCCCTCTCCGGATCCCATTCACGATGACGACTCACCACGGGGCTATTCAAGGCACAATGAGATGAACTCACGATTGCTCGTTCCCGCTTCCGAAATTCTAAGATGAAGCTGTTGGCATGGATTTCTGGATGGATCCCGCAACAGTCGTCCGATAATAGCGAACGAAGATTGGAAACCGATCCGAAGACCTTCGACAGATGTCTC